TGAGAAATAACATGGCGAACAAGTGGCTATCTTGGGTTTTGCTTGTAACAGTTTGTTATCGCTATTTCTTGGGAAGTACTCGATGGATCTGTCACAAATTTGAGATAAAGGTTCCTCTTTCTCAATTGTTGTGTTCGTTCAATTTTTGTCCTACTTAGATTTTGACACTGAAATTTCTCTAGAAGTACTGGATGGACCTTTCTCAAATTTTATATGAAGGCGACCATCTTGATTTATGACGAATCAATTCAAAATATTAGACACAGTCAAAAAAAAGTAAAGATGGCGTTCTTGTGCAGAAAGTATTGTATACCGTGACATTCTGTGTGGACACGGTCATGGGTACTGTAAACCGGAACATTCTGAGTAGGCACGGTCATGGGTACTGTATACCGGAACATTCTGTGTAGACGCGGTCATGGGTACTGTATACCGTGACTTTCTGTGTGGACACGGTCATGGGTACTGTATACCATGGCATTCTGTGTGGACACGGTCATGGGTACTGTATACCATGGCATTCTGTGTAGACACGGTCATGGGTACTGTAAACCGGAACATTCTGTGTAGACACGGTCATGGGTACTGTATACCGTGACATTCTGTGTAGACACGGTCATTCTGTGTAGACACGGTCATGGGTACTGTATACCGTGACAATGACACATATCACACGAACTAACAATGACACATATAACACAAACAAACAATGACACATCACACGAACAAACATTGACACATATCACACGAACAAACAATGACACATATCACACGAACAAACATTGACACATATCACACGAACTAACAATGACACATATCACACGAAGAAACATTGACACATATCACACGAACTAACAATGACACATATCACACGAAGAAACATTGACACATATCACACAAACTAACATTGACACATATCACACGAACAAACAATGACACATATCACACGAACAAACATTGACACATATCACACGAACTAACATTGATACATATCACACGAACAAGCTATCAATGACACATATCACATAAACTAACAATGAGACATATCACATGAACAAGCTATCAATGACATATCACACGAACTAATATTGACACATATCACAAGAACAAGCTATCAATGACACATATCACACGAACTAACAATGCCACATATCACACGAACAAACAATGACACATATCATACGAACAAACATTGACACATATCACACGAACTAATATTGACACATATCACACGAACTAATATTGACACATATCACACGAACTAACAATGACACATATCACACGAACTGACAATGACACATATCACACGAACTGACAATGACAAATATCACACGAACTAATATTGACACATATCACACGAACAAGCTATCAATGACATATCACACGAACTAACATTGACACATATCACACAAACTAACATTGACACATATCACACGAACAAACAATGACACATATCACACAAACTAACATTGACACATATCACACGAACAAACAATGACACATATCACACAAACTAACATTGACACATATCACACGAACAAACAATGACACATATCACACGAACTAACATTGACACATATCACACAAACTAACATTGACACATATCACACGAACAAGCTATCAATGACACATATCAGACAAACTAACAATGAGACATATCACACGAACCAACAATGACACATATCACACGAACAAACAATGACACATATCACACAAACTAACATTGATACATATCACACGAACAAGCTATCAATGACACATATCACACAAACTAACATTGACATATCTCACGAACAAGCTATCAATGACATATCACAAAAACTAATATTGACACATATCACACGAACTAACAATGACACTAATCACACAAACTAACATTGACACATATCACACAAACTAACATTGACACATATCACACGAACAAGCTATCAATTACACATATCACACAAACTAACAATGAGACATATCACACGAACCAACAATGACACATATCACAGGAACAAACAATGACACATATCACACGAACTAACATTGACACATATCACACGAACAAACAATGACACATATCACACAAACTAACATTGATACATATCACACGAACAAGCTATCAATGACACATATCACACAAACTAACATTGACACATATCACACGAACAAGCTATCAATGACATATCATACAAACTAATATTGACACATATCACAAGAACAAGCTATCAATGACACGTATCACACGAACTAACAATGACACATATTACACGAACTAACAATGACACATATCACACGAATAAACAATGACACATATAACACAAACTAATATTGACACATATCACACGAACAAACATTGACACATATCACACGAACTAACAATGACACATATCACACGAACAAACAATGACACATATCACACGAACTAACAATGACACATATCACACGAACAAACATTGACACATATCACACGAACTAACAATGACAAATATCAAACGAACAAACATTGACACATATCACACGAACAAGCTATCAATGACACATATCACATAAACTAACAATGAGACATATCACATGAACAAGCTATCAATGACATATCACACGAACTAATATTGACACATATCACAAGAACAAGCTATCAATGACACATATCACACGAACTAACAATGACACATATCACACGAACAAACAATGACACATATCATACGAACAAACATTGACACATATCACACGAACTAATATTGACACATATCACACGAACTAATATTGACACATATCACACGAACTAACAATGACACATATCACACGAACTGACAATGACACATATCACACGAACTGACAATGACAAATATCACACGAACTAATATTGACACATATCACACGAACTAATATTGACACATATCACACGAACTAACATTGACACATATCACACAAACTAACATTGACACATATCACACGAACAAACAATGACACATATCACACAAACTAACATTGACACATATCACACGAACAAACAATGACACATATCACACAAACTAACATTGACACATATCACACGAACAAACAATGACACATATCACACGAACTAACATTGACACATATCACACAAACTAACATTGACACATATCACACGAACAAGCTATCAATGACACATATCAGACAAACTAACAATGAGACATATCACACGAACCAACAATGACACATATCACACGAACAAACAATGACACATATCACACAAACTAACATTGATACATATCACACGAACAAGCTATCAATGACACATATCACACAAACTAACATTGACATATCTCACGAACAAGCTATCAATGACATATCACACAAACTAATATTGACACATATCACACGAACTAACAATGACACTAATCACACAAACTAACATTGACACATATCACACAAACTAACATTGACACATATCACACGAACAAGCTATCAATTACACATATCACACAAACTAACAATGAGACATATCACACGAACCAACAATGACACATATCACAGGAACAAACAATGACACATATCACACGAACTAACATTGACACATATCACACGAACAAACAATGACACATATCACACAAACTAACATTGATACATATCACACGAACAAGCTATCAATGACACATATCACACAAACTAACATTGACACATATCACACGAACAAGCTATCAATGACATATCATACAAACTAATATTGACACATATCACAAGAACAAGCTATCAATGACACGTATCACACGAACTAACAATGACACATATTACACGAACTAACAATGACACATATCACACGAACAAACAATGACACATATAACACAAACTAATATTGACACATATCACACGAACAAACATTGACACATATCACACGAACTAACAATGACACATATCACACGAACAAACAATGACACATATCACACGAACTAACAATGACACATATCACACGAACAAACATTGACACATATCACACGAACTAACAATGACAAATATCAAACGAACTAACAATGATACATATCACACAAACTAACATTGACATATATCACACGAACAAACATTGACACATATCACACGAACAAATAATGACACATATCACACGAACTAACAATGACACATATCACACGAACAAACAATGACACATATCACACGAACTAACATTGACACATATCACACGAACAAACAATGACACATATCACACGAACTAACAATGACACATATCACACAAACTAACAATGACACATATCACACGAACTAACAATGACACATATCACACGAACTAACAATGACACATTTCACAGTAATATTTATAAGCACTCCAGGCTAAACACCTGGTATCATATTATCTGATTAAATCCCATATTCTCTACACCTAGGAGCTTTTTCTTTCTCTGATTATATTTTTAGAGTAAGACAACAACGGTAACAATTTTATGTCCACATTCCCATTTATCTTGTGTAAACCTCATGAGAAATCGTTGCTTTCTGCCGTTAATTGAAAACTTCAGTTTTCAATAGACACAAGGAAGTGTGCATGCACGTGTATTCCATGCCATTCACAATAAACAAAATTATAAACCTTTCTCCTAATTCACGACAAAGAACATTGGGTCATCTATCTCAATATATTGAAAGGAGACTAGGTCAATTTGCTTACTGAAAATATACGGTGGAGAGGGATAAAACAGACATTCATTCTATTGATGCAAAGCAGCCGAGCATTTCAGCATGGATCAATTTCGGCTAGTCCGTACAGATAATGGACAAGGGAGATCTGTGCACACAAGATAACGTCAGTGTGTCATTGTTTAATAGTCTGGTGTTTACAGTGTAAGGTTTTGCGCCGAATACACACTGAAAACACAAACCGAGTGAGTTATCGACGTTTTAATGGATTTGTAAATATACCGTGATTCAAGTGTCTTAAAAGTCTTTATAATGAGCTGTAGTACAATGCGTAATAACATAATTAATGTAATGTTCAGAATATCACGTGATTCGTGACGTTGTTGCAGCCATTAGACTGTACATCGGGAAACTCTCGCCATGGAAATACAAGGTAGGAATTTAATGGTATCTACCACATCAGCTCATGCGTAAATTCTACGTGTTCGTGTTACTGTTGTCTAGTATCAGTGCGTGTTCGTGTTACTGTTGTCGAGTATCAGTGCGTGTTCGTGTTACTGTTGTCGAGTATCAGTGCGTGTCCGTGTTACTGTTGTCAGTCGTGTCCGTGTAATTGTTGTCAAGTATAAGTACCTGTCCGTGTTACTAATGTCAAGTATAAGTACCTGTCTGTGTTACTGATGTCAAGTTTCAGTACGTGTCTGTGTTATTGATGTCAAGTATAAGTACCTGTCTGTGTTACTGATGTCAAGTTTCAGTACGTGTCTGTGTTATTGATGTCAAGTATCAGTACCTGTCCGTGTTACCGATGTCAAGTTTCGGAACGTGTCTATGTTATTGATGTCAAGTATAAGTACCTGTCTGTGTTACGGATGTCAAGTTTCAGTACGTGTCTGTGTTATTGATGTCAAGTATAAGTACCTGTTCATGTAACTGATGTCAAGTATAAGTACATGTCCGTGTTACTGATGTCAAGTAAAAAGTACCTGTTCGTGTTGCTGATGTCAAGTATAAGTACATGTTCGTGTTGCTGATGTCAAGTATAAGTACCTGTCCGTGTTATTGATGTCAAGTTTCAGTACGTGTCTGTGTTATTGATGTCAAGTATAAGTACCTGTTCATGTAACTGATGTCAAGTATCAATATGTGTCCGTGTTACCGATGTCAAGTATAAGTACTTGTCTGTGTTACTGATGTCAAGTATAAGTACCTGTCCATGTTACTGATGTCAAGTTTCAGTACGTGTCTGTGTTATTGATGTCAAGTGTGTTACTGATGTCAAGTATAAGTACTGTTCGTGTTACTGATGTTATCTGATGTGTCAAGTATAAGTACCTGCCTGTGTTACTGATGTCAAGTATAAGTACCTGTCCGTGTTATTGATGTCAAGTATCAGTACGTGTACATGTTACTGATGTCAAGTATCAGTACCTGTAAGTATGTACGTGTGTTACTGATGTCAAGTATCAGTACGTGTACATGTTACTGATGTCAAGTATCAGTACGTGTACATGTTACTGATGTCAAGTATCAGTATGTGTACATGTTACTGATGTCAAGTATCAGTATGTGTACATGTTACTGATGTCAAGTATCAGTATGTGTACATGTTACTGATGTCAAGTATCAGTATGTATACATGTTACTGACGTCAAGTATCAGTATGTGTACATGTTACTGATGTCAAGTATAAGTATGTGTACATGTTACTGATGTCTAGTATCAGTATGTGTACATGTTACTGATGTCAAGTATCAGTATGTGTACATGTTACTGATGTCAAGTATCAGTATGTGTACATGTTACTGATGTCAAGTATCAGTATGTGTACATGTTACTGATGTCAAGTATCAGTATGTATACATGTTACTGATGTCAAGTATAAGTATGTGTACATGTTACTGATGTCTAGTATCAGTATGTGTACATGTTACTGATGTCAAGTATCAGTATGTGTACATGTTACTGATGTCAAGTATCAGTATGTGTACATGTTACTGATGTCAAGTATCAGTATGTGTATATGTTACTGATGTCAAGTATAAGTACCTGTCCATGTTACTGATGTCAAGTTTCAGTACGTGTCTGTGTTATTGATGTCAAGTATAAGTACCTGCCTGTGTTACTGATGTCAAGTATAAGTACCTGTCCGTGTTATTGATGTCAAGTATCAGTACGTGTACATGTTACTGATGTCAAGTATAAGTACCTGTCCGTGTTACTGATGTCAAGTATAAGTACGTGTGCATGTTACTGATGTCAAGTATCAGTACGTGTACATGTTACTGATGTCAAGTATCAGTACCTGTCCGTGTTACTGATGTCAAGTATAAGTACGTGTGCATGTTACTGATGTCAAGTATCAGTTCGTGTCCATGTTACTGATGTCAAGTATCAGTATGTGTACATGTTACTGATGTCAAGTATCAGTATGTGTACATGTTACTGATGTCAAGTATCAGTATGTGTACATGTTACTGATGTCAAGTATAAGTACATGTCCCTTCTACAGAATTACCTTGTACGATAATTGTGTGCGAGGTCAGTTCCGGTATTGTTGACAACGATATGTTTTCACCGCCGTTCATCTTACTTTGAATGGAAAGTTTTCGTTACCAGAAAATAAATGCCGAACTTTGGAATGGGATATTATTGTGTCCAGATTATAACAATAAATCGACATGTAGTACACTTTTTCAGAAGAAGATTTCTCAAAATTTAAATGCCATCTGTTCAACTTTTTGAATACGCAATTCCTCGATGACATTGTAACCCCAGGCTTACTGATGCTAAGAGTAGTAAGAAACCCTAGACGAGTCCGCAGTAACGTTTTCTTCAAGTAGATCTTGTGATGTTAAGCGAAATCCAATATAAAAAGGAAGGCTCATTTCCTTGTCATTAGCTTTTAAAATGATATATTGTGATACACAATCATTTGTGGTATTATAATCAATAGAGGATCAACAATCTAGTGTTATTTGTATTATCAAACGTTTGATTTTCGGCTGATATAGCAAAGAGTGATGAATCATGTTGACATCTTTGGATAATACTGTCAACGCTATTTTTCAGACATCACGGACAGGTCTCCCGGGACTGTTCAGGAACGTGATGGTGATCTCGGCTGCTGTGGTTACATCCTCGTGTTCCTGTCCGGGTGTCTGGTCATCCTGTTATTTCCATTTTCATTAATTGGTTCCATCAAGGTATTAGTTCTGGTTACGATATATGTTTAGTTTCGCACCACTCAAACCGATAACACCCCCGCCCGATGTTTAAACAGACTCGAAGTGACGGTAATGTTGATGGTTTAGCAGACCCGTGGGGACGGTAATGTTGATGGTTTAGCAGACTCGTGGTGACGGTAATGTTGATGATTTAGCAGACTCGTTGGGACGGTAATGTTGATGGTTTAGCTGACTCGTGATGACGGTAATGTTGATGATTTAGCAGACCCATGGTGACGGTAATGTTGATGATTTACCAGACCCGTGGGGACGGTAATGTTGATGGTTTAGCAGACTCGTTGGGACGGTAATGTTGATGGTTTAGCTGACTCGTGGTGACGGTAATGTTGATGATTTAGCAGACCCGTGGTGACGGTAATGTTGATGATTTAGCAGACCCGTGGTGGCGGTAATGTTGATGATTTAGCAGACCCGTGGGGACGGTAATGTTGATGGTTTAGCAGACCCGTGGGGACAGTAATATTGATGATTTAGCAGACTCGTGGGGACAGTAATGTTGATGATTTAGCAGACTCGTGGTGACGGTAATGTTGATGATTTAGCAGACCCGTGGTGACGGTAATGTTGATGGTTTAGCAGACAGACTCGTGGGGACAGTAATGTTGATGATTTAGCAGACCCGTGGTGACGGTAATGTTGATGATTTAGCAGACCCGTGGTGACGGTAATGTTGATGGTTTAGCAGACCCGTGGTGACGGTAATGTTGATGATTTACCAGACCCGTGGGGACGGTAATGTTGATGGTTTAGCAGACTCGTTGGGACGGTAATGTTGATGGTTTAGCTGACTCGTGGTGACGGTAATGTTGATGATTTAGCAGACCCGTGGTGACGGTAATGTTGATGATTTAGCAGACCCGTGGTGGCGGTAATGTTGGTGATTTACCAGACCCGTGGGGACGGTAATGTTGATGGTTTAGCAGACCCGTGGGGACGGTAATGTTGATGATTTAGCAGACTCGTGGGGACAGTAATGTTGATGATTTAGCAGACTCGTGGTGACGGTAATATTGATGGTTTAGCAGACCCGTGGTGACGGTCATGTTGATGGTTTAGTAGACTCGTGGTGACGGTAATGTTGATGTTTTTGCAGACTCGTGGGGACGGTAATGTTGATGGTTTAGCAGACTCGTTGGGACGGTAATGTTGATGGTTTAGCTGATTCGTGGTGACGGTAATGTTGATGATTTAGCAGACCCGTGGTGACGGTAATGTTGATGATTTAGCAGACCCGTGGTGACGGTAATGTTGATGGTTTAGCAGACCCGTGGTGACGGTAATGTTGATGGTTTAGCAGACCCGTGGTGACGGTAATGTTGATGATTTAGCAGACTCGTGGTGGCGGTAATGTTGATGATTTAGCAGACCCGTGGTGACGGTAATGTTGATGGTTTAGCAGACCCGTGGGGACGGTAATGTTGATGGTTTAGCAGACCCGTGGGGACGGTAATGTTGATTGTTTAGCAGACCCGTTGGGACGGTAATGTTGATGATTTAGCAGACCCGTGGTGACGGTAATGTTGATGGTTTAGCAGACCGGTGGTGACGGTAATGTTGATGGTTTAGCAGACTCGTCGGGACGGTAATGTTGATGGTTTAGCAGACCCGTGTTGACGGTAATGTTGATGACAGACCCGTGGTGGACGGTAATGTTGATGATTTAGCAGACCCGTGGTGACGGTAATGTTGATGGTTTAGCAGACCCGTGGTGACGGTAATGTTGATGGTTTAGCTGACTCGTGGTGACGGTAATGTTGATGATTTAGCAGACCCGTGGTGACGGTAATGTTGATGGTTTAGCAGACCCGTGGGGACGGTAATGTTGATGGTTTAGCAGACCCGTGGGGACGGTAATGTTGATGGTTTAGCAGACCCGTGGGGACGGTAATGTTGATTGTTTAGCAGACCCGTTGGGACGGTAATGTTGATGATTTAGCTGACTCGTGGTGACGGTAATGTTGATGATTTAGCAGACCCATGGTGGCGGTAATGTTGATGATTTAGCAGACCCGTGGGGACGGTAATGTTGATGGTTTAGCAGACCCGTGGGGACGGTAATATTGATGATTTAGCAGACTCGTGGGGACAGTAATGTTGATGATTTAGCAGACTCGTGGTGACGGTAATGTTGATGATTTAGCAGACCCGTGGTGACGGTAATGTTGATGGTTTAGTAGACTCGTGGGGACGGTAATGTTGATGGTTTTGATGGTTTAGCGGTAGACCCGTGGTGAGATTCGTGGTGACGGTAATGTTGATGATTTAGCAGACGGTAATGTGGTGACGGTAATGTTGATGATTTAGCAGACCCGTGGTGACGGTAATGTTGATGGTTTAGCAGACCCGTGGTGACGGTAATGTTGATGGTTTAGCAGACCCGTGGTGACGGTAATGTTGATGGTTTAGTAGACTCGTGGTGACGGTAATGTTGATGATTTAGCAGACCCGTGGTGACGGTAATGTTGATGATTTAGCAGACCCGTGGTGACGGTAATGTTGATGGTTTAGCAGACTCGTGGGGACGGTAATGTTGATGGTTTAGCAGACCCGTGGTGACGGTAATGTTGATGATTTAGCAGACCCGTGGTGACGGTAATGTTGATGATTTAGCAGACCCGTGGTGACGGTAATGTTGATGATTTAGCAGACCCGTGGTGACGGTAATGTTGATGGTTTAGCAGACCCGTGGTGACGGTAATGTTGATGGTTTAGCAGACCCGTGGTGACGGTAACGTTGATGATTTAGCAGACCCGTGGTGACGGTAATGTTGATGATTTAGCAGACCCGTGGTGACGGTAATGTTGATGGTTTAGCAGACCCGTGGGGACGGTAATGTTGATGATTTAGCAGACTCGTGGGGACAGTAATGTTGATGATTTAGCAGACTCGTGGTGACGGTAATGTTGATGGTTTAGCAGACCCGTGGTGACGGTAATGTTGATGGTTTAGCAGACCGGTGGTGACGGTAATGTTGATGGTTTAGCAGACTGGTGGTGACGGTAATGTTGATGGTTTAGCAGACCCGTGGTGACGGTAATGTTGATGGTTTAGCAGACCCGTGGTGACGGTAATGTTGATGGTTTAGCAGACCGGTGGTGACGGTAATGTTGATGATTTAGCAGACCCGTGGTGGCGGTAATGTTGATGATTTAGCAGACCCGTGGTGACGGTAATAATGATATTTTGGCAGACTCCTGGTCACGACAATGGTTTGCTTTCAAATGAAATGAACGTTTCCTGCAGGCGTTTAAGCTACGGAAGAAGGAATGATATTGAAGAAGATTTTGATAATTTTCTTTTGAGATGTAAACTGCCGCACATGTTCAAATGAGTCATACTCATATTCAAATTATCTGCCCTTGACTACCTTATTTCAATTCAAATCCTAAAATATCCCACATTTGATTCCACCCTCGTCGGGAGCAACCACCTTTGATAGTCCAGGAAAAAGGAACCTGATCATTTAGAAGTAAGTTTTGAACAAAAAGTTTACAGATGGGTGGATAGATGGACGGACGATGGACGCTACAAATCTTATTACCTATCAGGTCCTATGGATCAGGTCTCAGTATAAAACAATCCCTGTATGCGCTGTTCGTGCTTTGTCAGGTGGTACGGGAGTACGAGAAAGCTGTCATCTTCCGGCTTGGCCGTGTTGTTTCGGGCGGGGCAAAGGGACCAGGTATGTTGATTAATAATTCAATAATTAAGCGTTGAAATTTCTGATGTAGTAATATCCGTTTTCTAATGTAGAAATCTCTGTTTTCTAACGTATTAATGTCTATTGTCTACAGTATTCGTTTGAAAATTGATTACATGTTAAAAAGATTTTAATTTTCTTTGCATTGATTTGTCATTGGTGAAACTCATCACAATTTTTTCGTCAAACTTACATCTTCTATTGCCCGTGTTTAGTTCTATGCTATATCATATCGACATCAAGGTAAACACGATTTTCAATTTCATTTTTATCACCTTATGAACCTTTTTAACAATTCAACTTTTCGCTGAAATATGCAAATTAAGATTTTGATTAATAATTATGAAAGGAAAGTCTCTTGCCGTTAACCAACACCCTTAATATGTTATGTTTTGCGTCACATATGATAACGCATGAGCAGAACACACATTGTGTCTTCCCGCATGAATAGTCAACCACAAATAGACAAATGAAAAACCCAGATTTTCACGAAGGAAGAAGCATGGCAGATGTTTGTTTGTTTTTTTTTATGCAAAAATTATTTAAAAAAAAAACCCCAAAAACCCCCAAAAACCCCAATATAACAGTGCGCATATTCTGCTGGTTTATCTATTTTCTTGTCATTATTTTGATTATTCTATTTTTACCGTGAGGTCGCTTCTTTTGATAAATCAACTGTTGATAGATTAAACTCGTCCTAAACACATCACATAATTCAATGAAAAATCAATCAAACAATCAATCAATGCTTAATATTTTCACAAGAATTTCAACAAGAATGATTAGTATAAGCTGAAAAAAAACTTGTTTTCGCGATTGTTGTGCAATAAATGAAGTTCATATATATATATGTATATATATATATAATTATTTGACCAACAAGACAAACGAACATGATAACGGTGACTATTTTTACATGTTATATTTCTAGGACTCTTCTGTCTACATCCATGCATCGATGACTTCAAGAAAGTGGACATGCGTACGCTCAGCTTTGACATTCCCCCTCAGGAGGCAAGTTTTCTCGGAATATATAATCTAATTGATAAAACTGGTCAGGATTCGACAGAGTTCATTGTTATATCTCTACTATTTATTTTTATATACTTTTCTATGGTTAACAAAGTCTGGAATTCCAGATGTTTTTTCCAGAACAATGGTTACCGATCAACATTTCGATGGCGACTGCTTACGTAACTGTTCGGTATTTCCCGTTCGTTACTCGATAATTTCCGCCATTAAGCAATAGTGCCCCACCCTTGTCTATGAAGCATGCTGGTGTCAGCATCCGGTCCTATATTTACATGTCGTCTGCCATCATGAACATATCTATAGTGATTCGTTTTCTTAGATATCAACGCTAGAAGGTATAACAAAATATATGCAGACTGGATTTTCGGTCAAAATGTCTTATGTTGAATCCTCGGACCAAACTGTTGGACTCGGTCTTCGGCTCGGGCAACATTTAATCCTCTGGTTTAACATAACACATGTTGACCTCAAACCAAGTCAACAGATGTATGATAGTGGATGGAGGTAATGACTTCGTAGTGGACTTCTCACAATTCAAGTTAAAAAAATGATTTCATAAAAACTATTTATGTCTGACGCACATTTAATCTGATTTTCAGACTTCTTATCGACGGGTTTTCGTGTTAGAGAATATAAAATTATAGTTAAATCTGTTATCTCAATGCTAGGCAACGTATTATCATAAAAGCTGTGATGACGTCACGTTCTATATTGTTTACGTACGCGGAAACACTTGTTCTTTCTGTATAAATCACATAGATATGGTATATATTTGGTAAACTGTTAGGGCGATATTTTCTTCGTTAAACAATATCCGTGGATAATGCAGCATATTTCTGTATTTGTAGATTTTTTCTAGAAAAAATGATTACGTCATGTTTGTTTCATATTACAGACTTGTACAAGAAATCGATGATATGGTGTTCTGTGTTTACATATCTTGTCAAAGATCAAGTGATATGGTGTTTTATCTTTACAGATCTTGTCGAAGGATCCAGTGATATGGTGTTTCATCTTTACAGATCTTGTCGTAGGATCCAGTGATATGGTGTTCTGTGTTCACATATCTTGTCAAAGGATCCAGTGATATGGTGGTCTGTCTTTACAGATCTTGTAAAGGATTCAGTAATATGGTGTTTTGTGTTTACAGATGTTGTAAAGGATTCAGTAATATGGTGTTTTGTGTTTACAGATCTTGTAAAGGATTCAGTAATATGGTGTTTTGTGTTTACAGATCTTGTCAAAGGATCAAGTGATATGGTGTTCTGTCTTTACAGATCTTGTCGAAGGATCAAGTGATATGGTGTTTTATCTTTATAGATCTTGTCGAAGGATCCAGTGATATGGTGGTCTGTCTTTACAGATCTTGTCAAAGGATCCAGTAATATGGTGTTTTGTGTTTACAGATCTTGTCAAAGGATCCAGTGATATGGTGGTCTGTCTTTACAGATCTTGTAAAGGATCCAGTAATATGGTGTTTTGTGTTTACAGATCTTGTAAAGGATTCAGTAATATGGTGTTTTGTGTTTACAGATCTTGTCAAAGGATCAAGTGATATGGTGTTCTGTCTTTACAGATCTTGTCAAAGGATCCAGTGATATGGTGTTCTGTCTTTACAGATCTTGTAAAGGATCCAGTAATATGGTGTTTTGTGTTTACAGATGTTGTAAAGGATTCAGTAATATGGTGTTTTGTGTTTACAGATCTTGTAAAGGATTCAGTAATATGGTGTTTTGTGTTTACAGATCTTGTCAAAGGATCAAGTGATATGGTGTTCTGTCTTTACAGATCTTGTCAAAGGATCCAGTGATATGGTGTTCTGTCTTTACAAATCTTGTCGAAGGATCCAGTGATATGGTGGTCTGTCTTTACATATCTTGTAAAGGATTCAGTGATATGGTGTTCTGTCTTTACAGATCTTGTCGAAGGATTCGGTGACAGTGGCTGTGGATGCTGTAATCTACTGTTATATATTTGACGCCGTGATGTCCGTGTGTAATGTACAGAACGCATTCGAGTCCACAAAGCTTTTGGCTGCCACCACGCTGAGAAATGTCTTGGGCACCAAGAATATGGCAGAAATGTTGTCGGATCGGGATTCTATTACACAACACATGAAGGTGTGATCAAATACCAGGGTTTAATAATTATCATCATTAATTAAATATTTTCTACAATTTTCATATAATAAAATACAATAGTAATGAATTAACATTGACATTTGTACTTTGTCTCAATCAGTTTAAAGTTTTGCGTTATCTATAGAATATATCGAAAAACCTTTTGTTTGATAAATAATTATTATTTAACAGCAAATTCTAGACGTTTCTACAAAACCCTGGGGAGTGACTGTTGACCGAATCGAAATGTAAGTATTGTTGGATTTTAATATGATTGTCATTTATTGTTGTATTTCATAGAGGTAAAGTTCTCTTTTTACCTAGATATACCTACTGAGTATATATACAATATCTCCTGGTCTATAGAGATCTGATACAAAATGTCACGGTCTACTGAGTGTGTATACAATATCTCCTGGTCTATAGAGATCTGGTACAAAATGTCACGGTCTACTGATTGTGTATACACTATCTCCTGGTCTATAGAGATCTGATACAAAATGTCCCGGTCTACTGATTGTGTATACACTATCTCCTGGTCTATAGAGATCTGATACAAAATGTCACGCTCTACTGAGTGTGTATACAATATCTCCTGGTCTATAGAGATCTGATACAAAATGTCACGGTCTACTGAGTGTGTATACAATATCTCCTGGTCTATAGAGATCTGATACAAAATGTCACGGTCTACTGATTGTGTATACAATATCTCCTGGTCTATAGAGATCTGATACAAAATGTCACGGTCTACTGAGTGTGTATACAATATCTCCTGGTCTATAGAGATCTGATACAAAATGTCACGGTCTACTGAGTGTGTATACCATATCTCCTGGTCTATAGAGATCTGATACAAAATGTCACGGTCTACTGAGTGTGTATACCATATCTCCTGGTCTATAGAGATCTGATACAAAATGTCACGGTCTACTGAGTGTGTATACAATATCTCCTGGTCTATAGAGATCTGATACAAAATGTCACGGTCTACTGAGTGTATATATACAGTATCTCCTGGTCTATAGAGATCTGATACAAAATGTCACGGTCTACTGAGTGTGTATACAATATCTCCTGGTCTATAGAGATCTGATACAAAATGTCACGGTCTACTGAGTGTGTATACCATATCTCCTGGTCTATAGAGATCTGATACAAAATGTCACGGTCTACTGAGTGTGTATACAATATCTCCTGGTCTATAGAGATCTGATACAAAATGTCACGGTCTACTGAGTGTATATATACAGTATCTCCTGGTCTATAGAGATCTGATACAAAATGTCACGGTCTACTGAGTGTGTATACAATATCTCCTGGTCTATAGAGATCTGATACAAAATGTCACGGTCTACTGATTGTGTATACAGTATCTCCTGGTCTATAGAGATCTGATACAAAATGTCACGGTCTACTGAGTGTGTATACAATATCTCCTGGTCAATTTACTCGAATTTCCTGACTCAAAATGATTCAGACGGGATTCCAGAGATTATAAAGACTATGAAACATTTTCACGGTCGCCACCATGAACTCATTTTTGATCTGCTAGTGTTATATGTTATTAGAGGAAGTGTATGCTCGTTAGTAAATCTGGTCGTCACATCACCTATTCTGACTGTACATGGTGGTTGTCGTCTGTGAAAGTTTAAACACTGAACATTGCCTTCGTCTATAAGATTGCTTTTATTTCCGGTTTGTCGTTTGTCTACACCTCTTTTTTGTGATGTTGTCGTTTTTCTAACGGTATAGATGCCTTTACAAGTAGGGTATGGAGGGGGTGGGGCTACATACTAGGAGACGAAAAAATATTTCCAAATATAGATGGACCTGTGCACTTTCCAAACAAATCTCAATATTGAACGAGAGTTACATTCACTACTTTGTGCTTACCTCTCATTACAAAATTGATATAGCGTATAACGTCTCCCTCGCCTATTACTGAAGGATGGTGCTGTTTTGAGCTTTCGTTAGGAAAGCAAAGCCTGTGTGTTTTTTTAACCTTCGTTGTTTCAAGTTTTCATTGAATTCATATATGTCGTCACTAGAGCGCGTATCATGCTGTGTAATCTATACATTGAATTGGTAAATGTAAATTCGGTAGAAAAACACACTCTCAAATATCAACAACTTTGCAATAAGAGATGTGTCTCCGTTTCTTTCAGAAAGGATGTGAAGCTGCCACGCCAGCTTCAACGTGCTATGGCGGCGGAGGCCGAGGCGTCCCGAAATGCCCGTGCAAAGGTAAAAGTAATGTTTAATTTACAACTATTGCCAGTATTTCATCCTCGATACTCGAGGGGTTACGATCACCTTCGTTCTCTGCACCCCTGGAACATGTCATGGCAAAATTGAAGGTTCCATGACGATACCATGTAGACCAGACGAAAAAAAATTGTGATCGTAACCCGTGTAGTTAAGAGGATACAGAGACTGAAAGTGATTGTAACTCCCTGGGTATCGAGGATACAGAGAGAGAGAGAGACAGTGATTGTAACCATTTGGGTATCGAGGAAACGGAGAGAGAAAGTGATTGTAACCCCTGGAGTATCGAGGATACAGAGAGAGGAAAAGATTGTAACCGCTGGAGTATGGAGTATACAGAGAGAGAAAGTGATTGTAATCCCAGGAGTATGGAGGATACAGAGAGTGAAAGTAATTTTAACTCCTGGATTATCGAGGATACAGAGAGAGAAAGTGATTGTAATCCCTGGAGTATCGAGGATACAGAGAGTGAATGTGATTGTAACCCCTGGAGTATCGAGGATACAGAGAGAGAAAGTGATCGTAACCTCTGGAGTATCGAGGATACAGAGAGTGAATGTGATTGTAACTCCTTGGGTATGGAGGATACAGAGAGAGAAAGTGATTGTAATCCCTGGAGTATCGAGGATACAGAGAGAGAAAGTGAAAGTGATTGTAACCCCTGGAGTATCGAGGATACAAAGATAAAAAAGAGATTAAATTGGTGTTCTGTAAATTATGACTGGTCGTGTTTCGGGGAGACTTTTGATTGGTTCATTGATCTGATTTGCCATAAAATGTGACTTTTTTTTGTATGTTGTACCCGCCAGGTTATAGCCGCTGAAGGAGAACACAATTCCTCCCGAGCTCTGAAGCAAGCCTCCGACATTATCGCCCAATCTCCCGCAGCCATACAGCTCCGGTACTTACAAACACTCAACACCATTGCAAGCGAAAAAAATTCTACCATAGTATTCCCACTTCCGGTGGACATCACCAGCTCTCGACTAAACTACTGACATTGGGTTCCTGTATTTCACTTTACTGCATTTTGACATGTTTTAGGGAGTAGTATTTATTTTTGGAGTTTTTACATAGGTATAATGTAGATAAGGTCTTAGTAGCAGTACATACAACACCTGTGGTGTTAGTCACAGTACATAAAACACCTGTGGTGTTAGTCACGGTACATACAACACCTGTGGTGTTAGTCACGGTACATACAACACCTGTGGTGTTAGTCACGGTACATACAACACCTGTGGTGTTAGTTACGGTACATACAACACCTGTGGTGTTAGTCACGGTACATACAACACCTGTGGTGTTAGTCACGGTACATACAACACCTGTGGTGTTAGTAGCAGTACATACAACACCTGTGGTGTTAGTTACAGAACATACAACACCTGTGGTGTTAGTCACAGTACATACAACACCTGTGGTGTTAGTCACAGTACATACAACACCTGTGGTGTTAGTCACAGTACATACAACACCTGTGGTGTTAGTCACAGTACATACAACACCTGTGGTGTTAGTCACAGTACATAAAACACCTGTGGTGTTAGTCACAGTACATAAAACACCTACACGTGTAATCAACTGATAATCACATTTCGTTTTTAATGAGTGTTCAGCACATGTAGTTTAGTCTATTTCAGAAAAGGAAACTGATATTTTGTATAAATGTGATGTATATAAAGAGATATTGTGTTTTATTTTTTACTGTTAATCAAAGCTCACTAAAACACTCCCCAGTGGAGCCGGGAAATGTGGATCTCAGCCCTCAGGTAACGATTTGTAAGTTACAAACACTTGGCAAGTCTCGTGTTTGCTAACTTAATCATCTCTGGTTGAGTTCCATCTTTTTCACCTCAAGTTGGGGTGAAATATTCTATCAATCTTCATTCAAGACAGGGCTATCCACATCTTTATCGGAGTGAGATTTTCTTCGTCTTAATTCGAGCAGGTGTGTCCTCGCCTTAACAAATCTGAGGATATTCTAATGACGTCACATCAATGATGTTTAGCATATCACAATAACGTTTCCATCCATAATCTTGTTGGTAAGATAGTAATATCTCGAACCACGCGGCTAAAATATAAACTGCAACATTGTGTGTGTCAATTTTATAAGTAATGTCAACTTCAAAACATTTTGATTAAATGACTCAAACGTTAGTTTGAGAATAAAAAAAACCGGATCATATAGTATTCCGTCATTTCTATTTTGAAGCATTTCTACGTCTCGCCAGTTGGTCAGTAATTTCCAGGCTTTAGTTACCAATCGATTTTTGATGTAATAAAGGATGAACTGTTTGACTATTTATAGAAAGTAAACACGTGGATAAAGGCCTGTAACGTGTTTGTTTTCTTTATAATTACTAATTAGGCCATGTTGTACAGAACACTAGAACCTGACAGAAATGTAGACAAGGGGGCAGACATTTATATTGACAGACTGTAGACTAGGGGGCAGGTGTTTATATTGACAGACCTGTAGACTAGGGGCAGGTGTTTATATTGACAGACCTGTAGACTAGGGGCAGGTGTTTATATTGACAGACCTGTAGACTAGGGGGCAGGAGTTTATATTGACAGACCTGTAGACTAGGGGGCAGGTGTTTATATTGACAGACCTGTAGACTAGGGGGCAGGTGTTTATATTGACAGACCTGTAGACTAGGGGGCAGGTCTTTTTATTGACAGACCTGTAGACTAGGGGACAGGCGATTATCTTGACAGACCAGTAGACTAGGGGGCAGGTGTTTATATTGACAGACCTGTAGACTAGGGGGCAGGTGTTTATATTGACAGACCTGGAGACTAGGGGGCAGGTGTTTATATTGACAGACATGTAGACTAGGGGGCAGGTGTTTATATTGACAGACCTGTAGACTAGGGGGCAGGTGTTTATATTGACACACCTGTAGACTAGGGGGCAGGTGTTTATATTGACAGACCTGTAGACTAGGGGACAGGCGATTATCTTGACAGACCTATAGACTAGGGGGCAGGTGTTTATATTGACAGGCATATAGACTAGGGGGCAGGTGTTTATAATGACAGACCAGTAAACTAGGGAGCAGGTGTTTATATTGACAGACCTGTAGACTAGGGGGCAGGTGTTTATATTGACAGACCTGGAGACTAGGGGGCAGGTGTTTATATTGACAGACCTGTAGACTAGGGGGCAGGTGTTTATACTGACACACCTGTAGACTAGGGGGCAGGTTTTTTCATTGACAGACATATAGGCTAGGGGGCAGGTGTTTATATTGACAGACCTGTAGACTAGGGGGCAGGTGTTTATATTGACACACCTGTAGACTAGGGGGCAGGTGTTTATATTGACACACCTGTAGACTAGGGGGCAGGTTTTTTTTATTGACAGACCTGTAGACTAGGGGGCAGGTTTTTTCATTGACAGACATATAGGCTAGGGGGCAGGTGTTTATATTGACACACCTGTAGACTAGGGGGCAGCTATTTATATTGACAGACCTGTAGACTAGGGAGCAGGTGTTTATATTGAAAGACCTGTAGACTAGGGGGCAGCTATCTATATTGACAGACCTGTAGACTAGGGGGCAGGTGTTTATATTGACAGACCTGTAGACTAGGGGGCAGGAGTTTATATTGACACACCTGTAGACTAGGGGGCAGGTGTTTATATTGACAGACCTGTAGACTAGGGGGCAGGTGTTTATATTGACAGACCTGTAGACTAGGGGGCAGGTGTTTATATTGACAGACCTGTAGACTAGGGGGCAGGTGTTTATATTGACACACCTGTAGACTAGGGGGCAGGTGTTTATATTGACAGACCTGTAGACTAGGGGGCAGGTTTTTTTTATTGACGAACATATAGACTAGGGGGCAGGTGTTTATATTGACAGACCTGTAGACTGGGGGTCAGGTGTTTATATTGACAGACCTGGAGACTAGGGGGCAGGTGTTTATATTGACAGACCTGTAGACTAGGGGCAGGTGTTTATATTGACACACCTGTAGACTAGGGGGCAGGTGTTTATATTGACAGGCATGTAGACTAGGGGGCAGGTTTTTTTATTGACAGACATATAGACTAGGGGGCAGGTGTTTATATTGACAGACCTGTAGACTGGGGGGGGGGGCAGATGTTTATATTGACAGACCTGGAGACTAGGGGGCAGGTGTCTATTTTACAAACCTGTAGACTAGGGGGCAGGTGTTTATATTGACAGACCTGGAGACTAGGGGGCAGGTGTCTATTTTACAAACCTGTAGACTAGGGGGCAGGTGTTTATATTGACAGACCTGTAGGCTAGGGGGCAGGTTTTTATGATTGACAGACCTGTAGACTAGGGGGCAGGTGTTTATATTGACAGACCTGTAGACTGGGGGGCAGGTGTTTATATTGACAGACCTGTAGACTAGGGGGCAGGTTTCTTTTATTGACAGACCTGTAGACTAGGGGGCAGGTTTTTTCATTGACAGACATATAGGCTAGGGGGCAGGTGTTTATATTGACAGACCTGTAGACTGGGGGGGGGGACAGATGTTTATATTGACAGACCTGGAGACTAGGGGGCAGGTGTCTATTTTACAAACCTGTAGACTAGGGGGCAGGTTTTTATGATTGACAGACCTGTAGACTAGGGGGCAGGTGTTTATATTGACAGACCTGGAGACTAGGGGGCAGGTGTTTATATTGACAGACCTGTAGACTAGGGGGCAGGTGTTTATATTGACAGACCTGTAGACTAGGGGGCAGGTGTTTATATTGACAGACATATAGACTAGGGGGCAGGTGTTTATATTGACAGACATATAGACTAGGGGGCAGGTTTTTTCATTGACAGACCTGGGGACTAGAGGGCAGGTGTTTATATTGACAGACCTGGAGACTAGGGGGCAGGTGTTTATATTGACAGACCTGTAGACTAGGGGGCAGGTGTTTATATTGACAGACCTGTAGACTAGGGGGCAGGTGTTTATATTGACAGACATATAGACTAGGGGGCAGGTGTTTATATTGACAGACCTGGGGACTAGAGGGCAGGTGTTTATATTGACAGACCTGGAGACTAGGGGGCAGGTGTTTATATTGACAGACCTGTAGACTAGGGGCAGGTGTTTATATTGACAGACCTGTAGACTGGGGGGGGCAGATGTTTATATTGACAGACCTGTAGACTAGGGGGCAGGAGTTTATATTGACAGACCTGTAAACTAGGGGGCAGGTGTTTATATTGACAGACCTGTAGACTGGGGGGGGGCAGGTGTTTATATTGACAGACCTGTAGACTAGGGGGCAGGTGTTTATATTGACAGACCTGTAGACTAGGGGGCAGGTTTTTATGATTGACAGACCTGTAGACTAGGGGACAGGTGTTTATATTGACAGACCAGTAGACTAGGGGGCAGGTGTTTATATTGACAGACCTGTAGACTAGGGGGCAGGCGTTTATATTGACAGACCTGTTGACTAGGGGGCAGGTTTTTTTTTATTGACGAACATATAGACTAGGGGGCAGGTGTTTATATTGACAGACCTGTAGACTAGGGGCAGGTGTTTATATTGACACACCTGTAGACTAGGGGGCAGGCGTTTATATTGACAGACCTGTAGACTAGGGGCAGGTGTTTATATTGACAGAAATGTAGACTGGGGACAGGCGATTATCTCGACAGACCTGTAGGCTAGGGGGCAGGCGTTTATATTGACAGATATATAGACTAGGGGACAGGTTTTAACATTGACAGACACGTGAAATTTGAGAAAGATCTATGCTGTAGTTCTCAAGAAATAGGGATAACAAACTTCTAAGTTAAAATCTAAAATGTCCGTCTGTCGGCCATTTTGTTTTTCTTATCAGTCCCTAAATCAAATTGTCACAACTTGGGGCCTAGAGGAACCTACATCTGAAATTTAAGAAGATTCATTAAGTACTTCTCAAGAAAAAGCCATAACAACCTTTCAAAGTCAAAATCCAAGATGGCCACCTTCCGGCCATTTTGTTTTTCTCATCAGTCCTTAATAACATGGGCACAACTAGGGACTTAGGGGAACCTACATATGAAATTCAAGAAGGATTCATCATCGGGTGGATGGACGGCAGACCATGGACTTAAAAACAATTTGAACAGCCTGCTATCTGATGATGGTGGGCTACAGACCACCATGAAATACAGAAGCCTGTCGCCATCAATAACTCAATGCCCTGTAAGTTTAGTGGTAACATCAGCATTTTTCAGTGATCAATACATGTGTCAATACCTTATGTATCTTGATAAAGTGATCACTTTACTCTATTTCCTATGGCCTTATAAGTAATTTTACACTTCGCAGTAAATCTGGTCAACCAGAATCTGTAAATTAAAAAAACAAACAAAACCATGTGTGGATGAGAAATTTCTGTATTTTTCAATTTCTGATAAACAGAAATGACAAAATAATAATAATTAAAAAAAAAAAAAAATTATATTTTTTAGATTTTTTCAAAAGAAGCACATTGCATAAGCCATCCCAACATATAGTACATTGTATAAGCCATCCCAACATATAGTACATTGTATAAGCCATCCCTACATATAGTACATTGTATAAGCCATCCCAACATATAGTACATTGTATAAGCTTAACATTCTTCAATAATTTTCTACAGGAAACAAAACTGATATGTATATTAACTGAAATTAATTGCACACATTGTAGGGGAAAGTCAAATCATATCACAGAAATATGTGACAATATTATCAGAAATCAATCTATTGCTTTCAGACTGGAGAATGCTTACGATCCTGGAGACACAATGGAATGTTTAACAATTAAAGTAGATTATGTTGCCATTGTCTTCACAGCATCCTTTGAAAATTTGAAGGTGAAGGATCTGATAATAATTTCCTATAATAGAAATAACAGTCGAGTAAAACATCCTTAATCAGGTGTCAGGTTTATCTACAACAGTACAAGATTATCTGTAACAACATCAGATTATCTCTATCTGTAACAACATCAGATTATCTCTATCAGTGAAAGATAATCTGTTACGACTGTGCAAAATTGTCTGCTACAGTGTAAGACAATCTAACCCAGCTTAAGATTATCTGTCTTGGTAAAACATACCTGTAAAAGTACCATATTATAACAGTATCAGATTATCTCTTACAGTATCAGATTATCTCTTACAGTATCAGATTATCTCTTATGGTATCAGATTATCTCTTACGGTATCAGATTATCTCTTACGGTATCAGATTATCTCTTACAGTATCAGATTATCTCTTACAGTATCAGATTATCTCTTACAGTATCAGATTATCTCTTACAGTATAAGATTATCTCTTACGGTATCAGATTATCTCTTACAGTATAAGATTATCTCTTACGGTATCAGATTATCTCTTACAGTATAAGATTATCTCTTACGGTATCAGATTATCTCTTACAGTATCAGATTATCTCTTACGGTATCAGATTGTCTCTTACAGTATCAGATTATCTCTTACGGTATCAGATTATCTCTTACAGTATCAGATTATCTCTTACAGTATCAGATTGTCTCTTACAGTATCAGATTATCTCTTACGGTATCAGATTATCTCTTACAGTATCAGATTATCTCTTACAGTATCAGATTATCTCTTACAGTATCAGATTATCTCTTACAGTATCAGATTATCTCTTACGGTATAAGATTATCTCTTACGGTATCAGATTATCTCTTACAGTATCAGATTATCTCTTACGGTATCAGATTATCTCTTACGGTATCAGATTATCTCTTACGGTATCAGATTATCTCTTACAGTATCAGATTATCTCTTACAGTATCAGATTATCTCTTACAGTATCAGATTATCTCTTACAGTATAAGATTATCTCTTACAGTATCAGATTATCTCTTACAGTATAAGATTATCTCTTACAGTATCAGATTATCTCTTACAGTATCAGATTATCTCTTACAGTATCAGATTATCTCTTACGGTATCAGATTATCTCTTACGGTATCAGATTATCTCTTACAGTATCAGATTATCTCTTACAGTATCAGATTATCTCTTACGGTATCAGATTATCTCTTACAGTATCAGATTATCTCTTACAGTATCAGATTATCTCTTACGGTATCAGATTATCTCTTACAGTATAAGATTATCTCTTACGGTATCAGATTATCTCTTACAGTATCAGATTATCTCTTACGGTATCAGATTATCTCTTACAGTATCAGATTATCTCTTACAGTATCAGATTATCTCTTACGGTATCAGATTATCTCTTACGGTATCAGATTATCTCTTACAGTATCAGATTATCTCTTACGGTATCAGATTATCTCTTACGGTATCAGATTATCTCTTACAGTATCAGATTATCTCTTACGGTATCAGATTATCTCTTACGGTATAAGATTATCTCTTACGGTATCAGATTATCTCTTACGGTATCAGATTATCTCTTACGGTATCAGATTATCTCTTACGGTATCAGATTATCTCTTACGGTATCAGATTATCTCTTACGGTATCAGATTATCTCTTACAGTATCAGATTATCTCTTACGGTATCAGATTATCTCTTACAGTATCAGATAATCTCTTACAGTATAAGATTATCTCTTACAGTATCAGATTATCTCTTACAGTATAAGATTATCTCTTACAGTATCAGATTATCTCTTACAGTATCAGATTATCTCTTACAGTATAAGATTATCTCTTACAGTATCAGATTATCTCTTACAGTATAAGATTATCTCTTACAGTATAAGATTATCTCTTACAGTATCAGATTATCTCTTACAGTATCAGATTATCTCTTACAGTATCAGATTATCTCTTACGGTATCAGATTATCTCTTACTGTATCAGATTATCTCTTACAGTATCAGATTATCTCTTACAGTATCAGATTATCTCTTACAGTATCAGATTATCTCTTACAGTATAAGATTATCTCTTACAGTATAAGATTATCTCTTACAGTATCAGATTATCTCTTACAGTATAAGATTATCTATAAGATTATCTGTATTTGTATAAGATTATCTGTATTAGTTACTTAAGATTATCTGTTACAGTATAACATTATCTGTTACAGTATAAGATTATCTGTTACATTATAACATTATCTGTTACAGTATAAGATTATCTGTTACAGTATAACATTATCTGTTACAGTATAACATTATCTGTTACAGTATAAGATTATCTGTTACATTATAACATTATCTGTTACAGTATAAGATTATCTGTTACAGTATAACATTATCTGTTACAGTATAACATTATCTGTTACATTATAACATTATCTGTTACAGTATAAGATTATCTATTACAGTATAAAGTTTATCCTTTTAATTTTGTTACTACTGATACTGTAAGAGAGCCAGATTTATATATACTAGTAGTGGAACTTTGGACACAATCCTGAGTTTTCAACCAAAAATATCAGATAAATCATTTGAGGAGGAGTTGTTAGACATTCCCTGTGATGCCATTGGTTGAATTCCTTGTCTTCCCATTGACTGCTGTTGCTGTGATCCCATTGGCTGCAACATGCCTGTGGAATTTTGCATGTAACTTTGACCTCCCACTGCAGGTACCTGACCCATACCAGCCATTGGAGTACCCATACTGCTTCCCATCATTCCAAATTGATTTGAAGGCTTTTGCTGCTGAGGTCTGCTACTTGACTGGGACATTTGATTCAAAGACAATTTAGGCTGTTGATTGGATGACATGGGCAATAAACTGTCCAATGAGGACATATTCATGTTCTGGCCTGGAATGATATTCTGTCCCATCATCATGGAATTTGGATTCCTTCCTTGGTTACCAGACATACCCATTGAACTTTGACCTATACCACCTGACATACCCATTGAACTCTGACCCATGCCACCTGACATACACATTGAACTCTGACCCATGCCACCTGACATACCCATTGAACTCTGACCCATACCACCTGACATACCCATTGAACTCTGACCCATGCCACCTGACATACCCATTGAACTCTGACCCATGCCACCTGACATACCCATTGAACTCTGACCCATACCACCTGACATACCAATTGAGTTTTGACTCAATCCACCTGACATTCCCATTGAACCTTGACTCATGCTACCAGACATGCCCATGGAACTTTGACCAATACCACTTGACATACCCATTGAACTTTGACCCATGAAAGGTTGTCCCATAGTTCTATTGCCTGTTACAGAACTTGTTCCAAATACTGATGTTGATGACCCTGAGGTTCCTGTACCACTTGATGAAGTGTTTGCGGTCATGTTGATGGAATTCAAAGACATCTTGTTTGTAGGAGGATGAGTTCCAACCAGATTGGAACTCATCAGGGATGCAGACAGGTCTTTGACACCAGTATTTCTGGAGGTTTGAGGTGATTTGGATGTAGAACTCATTGTACCTAAAGGTTTCTGAGCTTTGTAAATTCTTTGTTGTTCCTGTTGTTTTGCCAGTTTCTGTTTCTCTTCTATTGACAATGTCTGTTTGGAAGCAAGAGGAAGAAGAAAACGAACATATATGATTACAATATCAAAAATTTCAGACAAGTTTTAGACTAACATTAAATTAATGTTCCACTAAATTGATCACTTCTATGGTATAAGTTGTGATATTTTAGAGAATGTCTTAATCATTGATAGAGGGTTGACTGATTTACAGATTGTAGGGACAATACCTGATGTCTGTATAATATTTACCTTTACATGGCTGACTGATTTACAGATTGTGGGGACAATACCTGATGTCTGTATAATATTTACCTTTACATGGCTGACTGATTTACAGATTGTAGGGACAATACCTGATGTCTGTATAATATTTACCTTTACATGGCTGACTGATTTACAGATTGTGGGGACAATACCTGATGTCTGTATAATATTTACCTTTACATGGCTGACTGATTTACAGATTGTGGGGACAATACCTGATGTCTGTATAATATTTACCTTTACATGGCTGACTGATTTACAGATTGTGGGGACAATACCTGATGTCTGTATAATATTTACCTTAGAGGGTTGACTGATTTACAGATTGTAGGGACAATACCTGATGTCTGTATAATATTTACCTTTACATGGCTGACTGATTTACAGATTGTAGGGACAATACCTGATGTCTGTATAATATTTACCTTTACATGGCTGACTGATTTACAGATTGTAGGGACAATACCTGATGTCTGTATAATATCTACCTTTACATGGCTGACTGATTTACAGATTGTGGGGACAATACCTGATGTCTGTATAATATCTACCTTTACATGGCTGACTGATTTACAGATTGTGGGGACAATACCTGATGTCTGTATAATATCTACCTTTACATGGCTGACTGATTTACAGATTGTGGGGACAATACCTGATGTCTGTATAATATTTACCTTAGAGGGTTGGCTGATTTACAGATTGTGGGGACAATACCTGATGTCTGTATAATATCTACCTTTACATGGCTGACTGATTTACAGATTGTGGGGACAATACCTGATGTCTGTATAATATCTACCTTTACATGGCTGACTGATTTACAGATTGTGGGGACAATACCTGATGTCTGTATAATATTTACCTTAGAGGGTTGACTGATTTACAGATTGTAGGGACAATACCTGATGTCTGTATAATATCTACCTTTACATGGCTGACTGATTTACAGATTGTGGGGACAATACCTGATGTCTGTATAATATTTACCTTAGAGGGTTGACTGATTTACAGATTGTAGGGACAATACCTGATGTCTGTATAATATCTACCTTTACATGGCTGACTGATTTACAGATTGTGGGGACAATACCTGATGTCTGTATAATATTTACCTTAGAGGGTTGACTGATTTACAGATTGTAGGGACAATACCTGATGTCTGTATAATATCTACCTTTACATGGCTGACTGATTTACAGATTGTGGGGACAATACCTGATGTCTGTATAATATTTACCTTAGAGGGTTGACTGATTTACAGATTGTGGGGACAATACCTGATGTCTGTATAATATCTACCTTTACATGGCTGACTGATTTACAGATTGTGGGGACAATACCTGATGTCTGTATAATATTTACCTTAGAGGGTTGACTGATTTACAGATTGTAGGGACAATACCTGATGTCTGTATAATATCTACCTTTACATGGCTGACTGATTTACAGATTGTGGGGACAATACCTGATGTCTGTATAATATTTACCTTAGAGGGTTGACTGATTTACAGATTGTAGGGACAATACCTGATGTCTGTATAATATCTACCTTTACATGGCTGACTGATTTACAGATTGTGGGGACAATACCTGATGTCTGTATAATATTTACCTTAGAGGGTTGACTGATTTACAGATTGTGGGGACAATACCTGATGTCTGTATAATATCTACCTTTACATGGCTGACTGATTTACAGATTGTGGGGACAATACCTGATGTCTGTATAATATTTACCTTAGAGGGTTGACTGATTTACAGATTGTAGGGACAATACCTGATGTCTGTATAATATCTACCTTTACATGGCTGACTGATTTACAGATTGTGGGGACAATACCTGATGTCTGTATAATATTTACCTTAGAGGGTTGACTGATTTACAGATTGTAGGGACAATACCTGATGTCTGTATAATATCTACCTTTACATGGCTGACTGATTTACAGATTGTGGGGACAATACCTGATGTCTGTATAATATTTACCTTAGAGGGTTGACTAATAGGTATGGCCACCTTGTGATTTTCTTCCCCAATCTTCACTACCTCCCCTGTACTGACAGGTTGTACTGAGGAAGGGACAGGACTATTTGACTTTGGAGCAGACTTGTCACCACCAATCATACTACCCATACCAAACCCACTGAGGAATTTGTCCATCTGAAAATATATCAGATATATCTGAAGTCTCAGTGACGCATTACGACACACGAAAACTTTATATCTCTGCTCAATAACAGCTCATTTCATTACATCAAAACATTAATGCTTCTAAACTTTTCTGATAATTAATGTCATTCATCAAAATCCATATCAACTTTGAATAAGATATTATACTTAAATCTCAATGCCGAATCAGTTAAAATACAACATTAATGTGTATCAGCTTATCCATCATAAAATTTGTTTAAAATTTGATATCACTGACTAGTTCACCGTTGTCTGAAGACATGATCTTTGTGTAACCTGGATTGTCCTACTTACCAATGGTCCATCCTCTACATCACTGACTGTCACTACTGTCTGTAGACGTGATCTTTGTGTAACCTGGATAGTCCTACTTACCAATGGTCCATCCTCTACATCACTGACTGTCACTACTGTCTGTAGACGTGATCTTTGTGTAACCTGGATAGTCCTACTTACCAATGGTCCATCCTCTACATCACTGACTGTCACTACTGTCTGTAGACGTGATCTTTGTGTAACCTGGATAGTCCTACTTACCAATGGTCCATCATCTACATCACTGACTGTCACTACTGTCTGTAGACGTGATCTTTGTGTAACCTGGATAGTCCTACTTACCAATGGTCCATCATCTACATCACTGACTGTCACTACTGTCTGTAGACGTGATCTTTGTGTAACCTGGATAGTCCTACTTACCATTGACTTTGGTTCATCCTGTACACCACTGACTAGTTCGTCGTTGTGTGTCGAAGTGATCTTTGTAATCTGGATGGTCCTATAAACATGAAAAGAGGAAGTTTTTCTTGTAATAGATTCTCATGAATGTAATGAACTGTTTAAAAGGCAGTTTTCAATGTTACTTTCTCTCAACTTAGGAAAAAAGAGGCCCATAAGGCTGGTATTGCACACCTGCTTTTGTTTTCTGAAATTGCTTCATCTAAATTAAATTAAAAGAATTTTACAGGTTATTTGAACTGTCATCCCTATAAACCCAACGGGAAACAATGCTTTACTCAAGGATGCTTCTGACCAAATCAGGTCAAATTCAATAATTCCTCATTAATAAGAAAATTTTAGTGAATTTGACTTTTTCCTTTAATGTGCCCTAGTCCGCCCATCCAAGGGGTCAAGACCCACCATTTTTACAAAATTGATTTCCCTTTACCTTAAACGCTTCAGACAAAATTTGGGCAATATCCATTCATTATTATAGGAGGAATTTAAAGAAATTGCTCTATTTCCTTGATCTGGAGCTGCCCCTTCTGTCAGAGGTTGGCAGAGACCTACTATCCGTACAAAATTGATTTCCCTTCACCTCAGAAAGCTCCACACCTAAATTATGGTAATATCCAGTCATTCGTACAGGAGGAGTAGCATTTTAAAGAATTTGGTTGATTTCCCCTGTTGGGCCCCATGTGTCCCACCCCAAATGGCTGTTTTATTCCACTTCACCTAAAAATGTTTCAGACAAAATTAGGGCAATATCAAATCATTGTTAAAGGAGGAGAAGGATTTTTAAGGATTTGCTCTCTTTCCCCTACTGGGTCCCACCTCTCCTGCCCAAGAAGGGCTGAGACCCATCGTTTATGTAACAGATACATAATGGGCACGAGTAATGTATTGGATATATCACACGAGTCCGAAGGATATATCTGATACATTACTTGTGCCCATTATGTTTCTGTTTTATCCAATGACCACCAAGGTTTTCTCATCCACGTGCCAAGGGGCGGAGCTAGAACCTATCAGGAGCCGATTAGTGTCAAGTTGATGATTTTCCCGCTATTTTCTTACCCATCCCATTTTCTATCACAGTAATAAATCATTTCATTAGTAGATGTCAGAGATGTCGGAGCTGGACAACGTATGGAAAGACTTTAGAAACATCGACAATCTCAATGATATAACATTATCACATGTCTTTGTTTATCTGTCTCGCCCACTTGGAAATGGGCACCACCTCCCTAATGAGGTGTGGACCAATCAGAGAGAACCATCTGATATTTTAGATATCACATGTGTGATATCTGAAATATCTCATGGTATGAAATTTATCACCAGGAAAAAAGATCAAAGAAAAACCAAGGCATCATTGGATAATCAAAACTGATTCTGCTTCACCTAAGAATGATGATCAGAAGGATTTTAAAATTCTCCCTTTTGAGCCCTGCCCCTCTGGTCTCTGGGGGTCCAGACCGTCAATTTATACAAATTTTGTCCCACTTTCCCTAGGAACGTTTCTGACCAAATTTAGTCAAAATTTTGTAGTAGTGAGATTTTGTAAAAAGGTTGACAAATGCATGGACAATAGATGAATGAACTGACAGATGGAGAACAGACAAGGGATGACTGATGCTGTGGTATGCCATAAGCTCACTTGACCCTTCAGGCTAGGTGAGCTGAAAATTGAGCCCCTTTCACTCAAGCATGTTTTTAAATCTAGACCAAGAATATGGTAGAATTTTCCAAGAAATGTTTACAACTTGAACATACTGTTGTTCTTGTTTCATCTGATCTAGCTGTTCCAGTTTCATACGTTGGTCTTTCTCCATACGTCCAAGCATGTCTCTCACCACAGACATGTATGCATTGAACTGTAAACAAACAGGTTGTATTTTGTTTATTAGCACACATGTGTACACATACAATGATAGCAGCAATAACCAGATAATCAAATTAAACTCAGTCAAATTTTACCATTTCCCAGTTATTCAGTGATAGACCTCTTTTGGTGGCAGGAAGATACCGTATAGCTGGTTATTTTTGATGGGGGATGATATTTTCGCAATTTCACGGGTCATTTCTATGATCGTGAAAATTTGATCTGTGAAATATTACGATGCATGAAAATATTGTCTGTGATATAAAATATTGAAAACATTGTCTTATTGTTACCAACTTATTGTAGTGTTCAAGTTCCTACTCGGTCACCACCTCTCTTTCATGGGTAAACAAGTTAAAACATGTGAAATAGAACACACAAGTTTAGATAGCTTTCCTACATATATATGTGAGATAAACAAACATGTGAGATAAACAAACACGTGAGATAAACAAACACGTAAGATAAACAAACACGTGAGATAAACAAACACGTGGGATAAACAAACATGTGAGATAAACAAACATGTGAGATAAACAAACACGTGGGATAAACAAACATGTGAGATAAACAAACATGTGAGATAAACAAACACGTGGGATAAACAAACACGTGGGATAAACAAACACGAAAGATAAACAAACATGTGGGATAAACAAACATGTGAGATAAACAAACACACAAACACGTGAGATAAACAAACACGTGAGATAAACAAACACGTGAGATAAACAAACACGTGGGATAAACAAACACGTGAGATAAACAAACACACAAACACGTGAGATAAACAAACACGTGAGATAAACAAACACGTGAGATAAACAAACACGTGGGATAAACAAACACGTGAGATAAACAAACACATGGGATAAACAAACCCGTGGGATAAACAAACTCGTGAGATAAACAAACACGTGAGATAAACAAACACGTGAGATAAACAAACACGTGGGATAAACAAACACGTGAGATAAACAAACACACAAACACGTGAGATAAACAAACACGTGAGATAAACAAACACATGGGATAAACAAACCCGTGGGATAAACAAACCCGTGGGATAAACAAACACGTGGGATAAACAAACACGTGAGATAAACAAACCTGTGGGATAAACAAACACGTGGGATAAACAAACACGTATGTGGTAGCATGACAACGTAATACTGCAGAACTGTACAGAACATTTATGTACATAGCTCATCTATTTGCAATAATTTGATTTCCAGTAAATACCACATTGCAATTTTTTAATTTGTGAAAATTAAATTTTCTTGATTTATGTGAAAATCGTGAATATTTTTGCCTGCCAAAATAACTGTCTGTACTGCATTTAAGGATAGTAATTTGTCAAGTAAATATAAATATGTACTATTATTTGATGCAAAAACAGACCATTATCTAAACATGCTACTAGTTATACTATTTGTAAATTTTATTATTCACTTCTGTTACTTATTGAGTGGATATTAGCTAGAAAGTAACACGAATTTCTAACAACAAAACATCAAATTTACATTCTCACATTTTGATCATTTTTCTTCAGAAGCCCACACAAAATCTGATTAATAGAATAACATTATATGTAGTTGATCTTAAACTTTCTTCCTGCAAAAAAAATTAATCACTATTGTTGATATTAGATTTTGGTTTAAATAGATCAAATTTAAAAATTCACATCAAACATTTTATGTTGTATTGAGTACCTGTGAGAGATTCAGGTTATTGTCCATAGCCAGAGGAATGATAAAAGGCAAAACTTTTGTAGCCATAATGTCTTTTGTGATGCCCAGTTTAGTGTGAGACAACGTCACCTGATATATACCTGCCAAAAACAACAAAATCAGATCAGTACAGCAGACTCCCTGGAGGGTATCTAGGGGGGAGTATTATATACCTAGTATACACATCAGTACAGCAGGCTCCCTGGAGGGTATCTAGGGGGGAGTATTATATACCTAGTATACATATCAGTACAGCAGGCTCCCTGGAGGGTATCTAGGGGGGAGTATTATATACCTAGTATACACAACAGTACAGCAGGCTCCCTGGAGGGTATCTAGGGGGAGTATTATATACCTAGTATACACAACAGTACAGCAGGCTCCCTGGAGGGTATCTAGGGGGGAGTATTATATACCTAGTATACACAACAGTACAGCAGGCTCCCTGGAGGGTATCTAGGGGGGAGTATTATATACCTAGTATACACAACAGTACAGCAGGCTCCCTGGAGGGTATCTAGGGGGGAGTATTATATACCTAGTATACACAACAGTACAGCAGGCTCCCTGGAGGGTATCTAGGGGGGAGTATTATATACCTAGTATACACATCAGTACAGCAGGCTCCCTGGAGGGTATCTAGGGGGGAGTATTATATACCTAGTATACACAACAGTACAGCAGGCTCCCTGGAGGGTATCTAGAGGGGAGTATTATATACCTAGTATACACAACAGTACAGCAGGCTCCCTGGAGGGTATCTAGGGGGGAGTATTATATACCTAGTATACACATCAGTACAGCAGGCTCCCTGGAGGGTATCTAGGGGGGAGTATTATATACCTAGTATACACAACAGTACAGCAGGCTCCCTGGAGGGTATCTAGGGGGGAGTATTATATACCTAGTATACACATCAGTACAGCAGACTCCCTGGAGGGTATCTAGGGGGGAGTATTATATACCTAGTATACTCATCAGTACAGCAGACTCCCTGGAGGGTATCTAGGGGGGAGTATTATATACCTAGTATACACAACAGTACAGCAGGCTCCCTTGAGGGTATCTATGGGGGAGTATTATATACCTAGTATACACATCAGTACAGCAGGCTCTCTGGAGGGTATCTAGAGGGAGTATTATATACCTAGTATACACAACAGTACAGCAGGCTCCCTGGAGGGTATCTAGGGGGGAGTATTATATACCTAGTATACTCATCAGTACAGCAGACTCCCTGGAGGGTATCTAGGGGGGAGTATTATATACCTAGTATACACAACAGTACAGCAGGCTCCCTTGAGGGTATCTATGGGGGAGTATTATATACCTAGTATACACATCAGTACAGCAGGCTCTCTGAAGGGTATCTAGAGGGAGTATTATATACCTAGTGTACACAACAGTACAGCAGGCTCCCTTGAGGGTATCTATGGGGGAGTATTATATACCTAGTATACTCATCAGTACAGCAGACTCCCTGGAGGGTATCTAGGGGGGAGTTTTATATACCTAGTATACACAACAGTACAGCAGGCTCTCTGGAGGGTATCTAGAGGGAGTATTATATACCTAGTATACACATCAGTACAGCAGGCTCTCTGGAGGGTATCTAGGGGGGAGTATTATATACCTAGTATACACATCAGTACAGCAGGCTCCCTGGAGGGTATCTAGGGGGGAGTATTATATACCTAGTATACACATCAGTACAGCAGGCTCCCTGGAGGGTATCTAGGGGGAGTATTATATACCTAGTATACACAACAGTACAGCAGGCTCCCTGGAGGGTATCTAGGGGGTAGTATTATATACCTAGTATACACATCAGTACAGCAGGCTCCCTGGAGGGTATCTAGGGGGGAGTATTATATACCTAGTATACACATCAGTACAGCAGGCTCCCTGGAGGGTATCTAGGGGGGAGTATTATATACCTAGTATACACATCAGTACAGCAGGCTCCCTGGAGGGTATCTAGGGGGGAGTATTATATACCTAGTATACACATCAGTACAGCAGGCTCCCTGGAGGGTATCTAGGGGGGAGTATTATATACCTAGTATACACATCAGTACAGCAGGCTCCCTGGAGGGTATCTAGGGGGTGGGGGGGAGTATTATATACCTAGTATACACATAGTACAGCAGGCTCCCTGGAGGGTATCTACACACATCAGTACAGCAGGCTCCCTGGAGGGTACAGCAGTACAGCTCCCTGGAGGGTATCTAGGGGGGAGTATTATATACCTAGTATACACATCAGTACAGCAGGCTCCCTGGAGGGTATCTAGGGGGAGTATTATATACCTAGTATACACATCAGTACAGCAGGCTCTCTGGAGGGTATCTAGGGGGGAGTATTATATACCTAGTATACACATCAGTACAGCAGGCTCCCTGGAGGGTATCTAGGGGGAGTATTATATACCTAGTATACACATCAGTACAGCAGGCTCCCTGGAGGGTATCTAGGGGGAGTAGGCTCTCACATCAGTACAGCAGGCTCCCTGGAGGGTATCTAGGGGGGAGTATTATATACATAGTAAACACATCAGTACAGCAGGCTCCCTGGAGGGTATCTAGGGGGAGTATTATATACCTAGTATACACTTCAGTACAGCAGGCTCTCTGGAGGGTATCTAGGGGGAGTATTATATACCTAGTATACACATCAGTACAGCAGGCTCCCTGGAGGGTATCTAGGGGGAGTATTATATACCTAGTATACACATAGTACAGCAGGCTCTCTGGAGGGTATCTAGGGGGGAGTATTATATACCTAGTATACACTTCAGTACAGCAGGCTCCCTGGAGGGTATCTAGGAGGGAGTATTATATACCTAGTATACACATCAGTACAGCAGGCTCCCTGGAGGGTATCTAGGGGGAGTATTATATACCTAGTATACACATCAGTACAGCAGGCTCCCTGGAGGGTATCTAGGGGGAGTATTATATACCTAGTATACTCATCAGTACAGCAGGCTCCCTGGAGGGTATCTAGGGGGGAGTATTATATACCTAGTATACACATCAGTACAGCAGGCTCTCTGGAGGGTATCTAGGGGGAGTATTATATACCTAGTATACTCATCAGTACAGCAGGCTCCCTGGAGGGTATCTAGAGGGGAGTATTATATACCTAGTATACACATCAGTACAGCAGGCTCCCTGGAGGGTATCTAGGGGGGAGTATTATATACCTAGTATACACATCAGTACAGCAGGCTCCCTGGAGGGTATCTAGGGGGGAGTATTATATACCTAGTATACTCATCAGTACAGCAGGCTCCCTGGAGGGTATCTAGGGGGAGTATTATATACCTAGTATACTCATCAGTACAGCAGGCTCCCTGGAGGGTATCTGAGGGAGAAATGGAAGAATATCATCCAGTACAGTCCACTTGTCCAGGTATTCCAACAGCTTACCAATACACAGCAGGCAGTTTGTCCGTATCTAAAGCAAAACAGTAGTGTGATACATGGACACAAGTGATAGGCATAGGCCAGGCCAGGTCAACACATATATATAAAGAAAGGATAACGTTTCATCTTTTGTACAAATCTCTGGTTATTGGATGTCCTTCCTCTCTCAGTTTTCCATGAAGCTTGATAGAAAGTGAGACAACTCATTATATAGGAGATTTCATTCATCAAGTCCTAATTTAAATCCAGCTTAATATTTTTTTAACAAGATCCAGAGGGATCTTGGAGCCACACATCATTTCAACCTTTTTCCTTATTTAGAAATAGTTCTTTTCTTTTTTTTTTTAATCTTCCTTTGAAATCTGTTTCCACTCTTGATTTATGAAATTTGCCTCTTACGAAATAGCTATAACAATCTTTTCTTACCAAATCCAATAACATCACCTATTATCCACTTAGTTCTTCTGATCACTCCCAAAATTCTACACAATAAGAACCCACATAGAAAATCTGTAAAGATTAATCCTCAAACAATAGCAATAACAAACTTTCATAGCCAAAATTGAAGTTGCCCAACTGTTGGCCATTTTTGTTTTGTGATCAGTCACAAAATTGAACCGGCACAACTAAAACCATATCTTTAATATTCCAAAGGTTATGGTCACATTCGCCCTCTGCATCCATGGAACATCTCATAGCAAAATTAAAGGCACAAGTGAAGTCATTTGATTGGTTCCAAGAGGAAAAGAATGACCAATCACAGGCTGCTACACCTTTTGAAGATTACAAAGGAGTGACACCAAACTTCTAAGCCATCAGTACATCACAGGATCAAACTTGTCTTTACATTTCATACACGAGGTGTAGAACATGGAATCTTCAATTCTGCCATGATATGTTCCAGGGGTGAAGAGAGCAAAAGTGATTGTACCCCCTGGAGTATCAAAGATTCTGAAACTAAGGACAAAGGGGAAACTACAAACAAAATTTGAGAAAGATCCATCAAATGATTTTCAAGATACAGTGATAACAAAAATTGTCTAGGGAGAGAAAACCAAAGTACACAACATGGATTGGCAATATAAATAGACAACCATCTGGGCTACAAATCAGACTTACATCTATTAACAGCGATTCCATTCAGTACTTTAAATACTTACAGCTATTTACAGCGACTCCAGTTAGTACTTTAAATAATTACAGCTATTTACAGCGACTCCAGTTAGTACTTTAAATACTTACAGCTATTTACAGCTACTCCAGTCAGTACTTTAAATACTTACAGCGATTTACAGCGACTCCAGTCAGTACTTTAAATACTTACAGCTATTTACAGCGACTCCAGCCAGTACTTTAAATACTTACAGCTATTTACAGCGACTCCAGTCAGTACTTTAAATACTTACAGCTATTTACAGCGAATCCAGTCAGTACTTTAAATACTTACAGCTAATACTCCAGTCAGTACTTTAAATACTTACAGCTAATACTCCAGTCAGTACTTTAAATACTTACAGCTATTTACAGCTACTCCAGTCAGTACTTTAAATACTTACAGCTAATACTCCAGTAGAAAGACACAATTTCTTAATTCTTGGGATGATAGAATTTTTCAAAGAGCTAAATTCAATCAGCTCTGCAAAAGTTGGCACAATGGATAGGCACAATTCCTGCAAGAAAAATTGTAAAAAATCAATTGACCGAACAAATCACTCCTGCAACCTAGAAGGTAATTGCTGTATGTCTGATGGAAAACCTACACCACAAAATACAAATAGTGCAGCTTGATGTGAATTCTGGGGCAGTTTTATGATCTTATGTTCCAGTCACTTACCATAGTTGTGCGTAAAAAGAGACAACAATATAGTAATACTAATTATGTGAAACATTACCTGTAGTTGAGGACTCTCGGTTTCCAAACACAGGTGAATCATAGGAATCACATGGTTTTTTATTTCACCCTGCGGAGTCTTCTTTAACAACAAAGTCATGTTTTGCATGAAAATTAAGGGAATCTGAAATCAAGAATTGAAAAAGTTACTTATTGATATAGACAGACATTGTATCAGCTGTGTGAGGAGACTTAAACCCAGCATACTGTACATTATTGATATAGACAGACATTGTATCAGCTGTGTGAGGAGACTTAAACCCAGCATACTGTACATTACTGATATAGACAGACATTGTATCAGCTGTGTGAGGAGACTTAAACCCAGCATACTGTACATTACTGATATAGACAGACATTGTGTGATCAGCTGTGTGATATAGACAGACATTGACTGTGTGAAACCCAGCATACTGTACATTACTGATATAGACAGACATTGTATCAGCTGTGTGAGGAGACTTAAACCCAGCATACTGTACATTATTGATATAGACAGACATTGTATCAGCTGTGTGAGGAGACTTAAACCCAGCATACTGTACATTACTGATATAGACAGACATTGTATCAGCTGTGTGAGGAGACTTAAACCCAGCATACTGTACATTATTGATATAGACAGACATTGTATCAGCTGTGTGAGGAGACTTAAACCCAGCATATTGTACATTATTGATATAGACAGACATTGTATCAGCTGTGTGAGGAGACTTAAACCCAGCATATTGTACATTATTGATATAGACAGACATTGTATCAGCTGTGTGAGGAGACTTAAACCCAGCATATTGTACATTATTGATATAGACAGACATTGTATCAGCTGTGTGAGGAGACTTAAACCCAGCATATTGTACATTATTGATATAGACAGACATTGTATCAGCTGTGTGAGGAGACTTAAACCCAGCATACTGTACATCTGTGTGAGGAGACTTAAACCCAGCATATTGTACATTACTGATATAGACAGACATTGTATCAGCTGTGTGAGGAGACTTAAACCCAGCATACTGTACATTACTGATATAGACAGACATTGTATCAGCTGTGTGAGGAGACTTAAACCCAGCATACTGTACATTACTGATATAGACAGACATTGTATCAGCTGTGTGATTAAACCCAGCATACTGTACATTACTGATATAGACAGACATTGTATCAGCTGTGTGAGGAGACTTAAACCCATCTTAAACCCATCATACTGTACATTACTGATATAGACAGACATTGTATCAGCTGTGTGAGGAGACTTAAACCCAGCATACTGTACATTACTGATATAGACAGACATTGTATCAGCTGTGTGAGGAGACTTAAACCCAGCATACTGTACATTACTGATATAGACAGACATTGTATCAGCTGTGTGAGGAGACTTAAACCCAGTGTGAGGAGACATACTGTACATTACTGATATAGACAGACATTGTATCAGCTGTGTGAGGAGACTTAAACCCAGCATACTGTACATTACTGATATAGACAGACATTGTATCAGCTGTGTGAGGAGACTTAAACCCAGCATATTGTACATTACTGATATAGACAGACATTGTATCAGCTGTGTGAGGAGACTTAAACCCAGCATACTGTACATTACTGATATAGACAGACATTGTATCAGCTGTGTGAGGAGACTTAAACCCAGCATATTGTACATTATTGATATAGACAGACATTGTATCAGCTGTGTGAGGAGACTTAAACCCAGCATACTGTACATCTGTGTCAGGAGACTTAAACCCAGCATACTGTACATTATTGATATAGACAGACATTGTATCAGCTGTGTGAGGAGACTTAAACCCAGCATACTGTACATTACTGATATAGACAGACATTGTATCAGCTGTGTGAGGAGACTTAAACCCAGCATATTGTACATTACTGATATAGACAGACATTGTATCAGCTGTGTGAGGAGACTTAAACCCAGCATACTGTACATTACTGATATAGACAGACATTGTATCAGCTGTGTGAGGAGACTTAAACCCAGCATACTGTACATTACTGATATAGACAGACATTGTATCAGCTGTGTGAGGAGACTTAAACCCAGCATACTGTACATTACTGATATAGACAGACATTGTATCAGCTGTGTGAGGAGACTTAAACCCAGCATACTGTACATTACTGATATAGACAGACATTGTATCAGCTGTGTGAGGAGACTTAAACCCAGCATACTGTACATTACTGATATAGACAGACATTGTATCAGCTGTGTGAGGAGACTTAAACCCAGCATACTGTACATTACTGATATAGACAGACATTGTATCAGCTGTGTGAGGAGACTTAAACCCAGCATACTGTACATTACTGATATAGACAGACATTGTATCAGCTGTGTGAGGAGACTTAAATCCAGCATACTGTACATTACTGATATAGACAGACATTGTATCAGCTGTGTGAGGAGACTTAAACCCAGCATATTGTACATTACTGATATAGACAGACATGTGTGTGTGTGAGATATTCATCATCCGTGCTCTGTTCTGCAATCTGTAGAATATTAGGTAGGATAAACGGTACCATCTCAGGGTTAACACATTCCTTATGGAGTGGAGGCAGGATTCGCTGTAAACTCACTCTCTGAAAAAAAGAGCATCAGTAAAACTTAATTCTCACCAAAAATAATTTATTAGACATGAAATACACTGTATTGTATTGTCCACGCACCAAATCTAGCAAAGTCATTTAGTCAACAAGCACAAAACTTAATTTCTTTCAGAATTGTGGGGATCAGATTTCGTCAAGATGTTCGCACTGGTTTGACTGTTTCGTATTAATTGTCCCTAAAAATGCACGTAACCAAGCTAACTGCTTGCATGTAAACATGCTACTTGCTTAATGTACAGGTAAGTCACTACTACAGGATCGTGACATTAATTATGAAGTCTACCTTTAATTTGGTAATTTATCGTCAGAGATCAAGTGGTGCATGTACAGTGGAATGACTGACATAAGCCCGACTGTGTATGTATTGAGTAATTTCTTCAAAACACATGCCAGTGTTTTGATAATGATTAACTTTGAGACAACAAATGACTTTTCTCTTGCTTTACAATTGAAGGAACTGCAAAATCATTTCAACTCATTGAAATTTGAGTCTTCCGAACAAAAATCTACAAAGACCAAGAGGGAAAATAATTAGGACTTGGAAATTGTTTCAAATCAAACGGAATTCAAAATCATGCGACTTTGAGACAACAAATTTCAACTGTATAATCAAAATATTTGGAAAATATGAGATTTGAAATAATCCTTTTTGAAATATTTTTTGTATATATATGAATGGTCTAAAAATCAATTGAATGCTTTATAGGGTATGATATCTATAATGTATTGTCGTGTAGATTGAATTTGGAATATGTTAGGGGTAGAAAATACCTTTGGAAGTTTTGTAATAATCTTTGGAAGGCCCTTAAAAAATTGTGACTTTTGTAGATTGTCCCTCTGGAACAATGAATCCATGTACTGTAGAGTCATACAGCCCACATCTTCAAAGTACGGAATCTGAAAAACATGCAAATCATCAAAAATATTTCAAAATTTTCATAGAAATGGCCACATACAGCCCTTATCTTTAAAATATGGAAAACAAAAAACAAACATGGATCTTACCAGAATTTTTATATAGATTACCTAATGTTGATAAAGTGAGGCGAAGGGAGGTAACTCTGATAGATTATGGGTTGTTTGACATACCTTCATTAGTTGATCTGGATCAGGTCTCACAGTTGGTTCAGAGTTCAACAATAACTTGACATATTCGTGTAGTTCATTTGGCACATTTCCAAGTAACGATGACCTAAATTTCTGCAGCTGTCAAACAAGTAAAACAGGAATGTACCGTAAATCAGACTTTAGAATGAACTATATCAGGGATACTAAGGGTTGAAATTTAAAAATACACCTGTTTCAAGAGGTGTTGGTATGATTAGTGGTCCTGTTGTTTACTGTATTCTAATTTGAAAATTTAACATTATTTACTAAAGATGGCCAAAATTTACATGAAGGTTTTAGTTTATGAAGCAGAAGATGTTTACCCTTCTGAAACATCTGGTCTTATTCTCTGATCACCAACTTAGGGGTCTCTGTGTTGATCTTTTGTTCATACTTCTCTCTCATTTCCATTATTTTATATTCAATGTTGATGTTTTATATAGTATAATGTACATGCAGAGCATGGTCATTAATGGTTAATGAAACATACCTAAACGGAGAGGATATTAAGCATTTATGACATTCTTGTAATGAAGTAATGGTTACAAATCAATTGTAATCTAATAATTTCTATCAATGACATTTCTCTGGTCCATTAGTATTACTCTGGTCCATCAGTATTACTCTGGTCCATTAGTATTACACTGGTCCATCAGTATTACTCTGGTCCATCAGTATTACTCTGGTCCATCAGTATTACTCTGGTCCAGTAGTAATACTCTGGTCCATCAGTATTACTCTGGTCCATTAGTATTACTCTGGTCCATCAGTATTACTCTGGTCCATTAGTATTACTCTGGTCCATTAGTATTACTCTGGTCCATTAGCATTTCTCTGGTCCATTAGTATTACTCTGGTCCATTAGTATTACACTGGTACATCAGTAGTATTACTCTGGTCCATTAGTATTACTCTGGTCCATTAGTATTACTCTGGTCCATCAGTATTACTCTGGTCCATTAGCATTTCTCTGGTCCATTAGTATTACTCTGGTCCATTAGTATTACACTGGTACATCAGTAGTATTACTCTGGTCCATTAGTATTACTCTGGTCCATCAGTATTACTCTGGTCCATTAGTATTACTCTGGTCCATCAGTATTACTCTGGTCCATTAGTATTACTCTGGTCCATCAGTATTACTCTGGTCCATTAGTATTACTCTGGCCCATCAGTAGTATTACTCTGGTCCATCAGTATTACTCTGGTCCATTAGTATTACTCTGGTCCATTAGTATTACTCTGGTCCATTAGTATTACTCTGGTCCATTAGTATTACTCTGGTCCATCAGTATTACTCTGGTCCATTAGCATTTCTCTGGTCCATCAGTATTACTCTGGTCCATCAGTATTACACTGGTCCATCAGTATTACTCTGGTCCATTAGTATTACTCTGGTCCATCAGTATTACTCTGGTCCATTAGTATTACTCTGGTCCATCAGTATTACTCTGGTCCATTAGTATTACACTGGTCCATCAGTATTACTCTGGTCCATCAGTATTACTCTGGTCCATTAGTATTACTCTGGTCCATTAGTATTACTCTGGTCCATCAGTATTACTCTGGTCCATCAGTATTACTCTGGTCCATTAGTATTACACTGGTCCATCAGTATTACTCTGATCCATCAGTATTACTCTGGTCCATTAGTATTACTCTGGTCCATTAGTATTACTCTGGTCCATCAGTATTACTCTGGTCCACCAGTATTACTCTGATCCACCAATATTATGCTGGTCCATCAGTATTACTCTGGTCCATCAGTATTACGCTGGTCCATCAGTATTACTCTGATCCACCAGTATTACGCTGGTCCATCAGTATTACTCTGGTCCATCAGTAGTATTACTCTGGTCCATCAGTATTACTCTGGTACATCAGTAGTATTATTCTGGTCCATCAGTAATACTCTGGTCCATCAGTATCACTCTGATTCACCAGTATTATGCTGGTCCATCAGTATTACTCTGGTCCATCAGTATTAATCTGATCCACCAGTATTACGCTGGTCCATCAGTATTACTCTGGTCCACCAGTATTATGCTGGTCCATCAGTATTACTCTGGTCCATCAGTATTACTCTGGTCCATTAGTATTACTCTGATCCACCAGTATTACTCTGATCCATCAGTATTACTCTGGTCCATTAGTATTACTCTGGTCCATCAGTATTATGCTGGTCCATCAGTAGTATTACTCTGGTCCACCAGTATTACACTGGTCCATCAGTATTACTCTGATCCATCAGTATTACTCTGGTCCATTAGTATTACTCTGGTCCATTAGTATTACTCTGGTCCACCAGTATTACTCTGGTCCACCAGTATTACTCTGATCCACCAGTATTATGCTGGTCCATCAGTATTACTCTGGTCCATCAGTATTACTCTGGTCCACCAGTATTACTCTGGTCCACCAGTATTATGCTGATCCATCAGTATTACTCTGGTCCATCAGTATTACTCTGGTCCACCAGTATTACGCTGGTCCATCAGTATTACTCTGGTCCATCAGTATTACTCTGATCCACCAGTATTACGCTGGTCCATTAGTATTACTCTGGTCCATTAAAATTACTCTGATCCATCAGTATTACTCTGGTCCATTAGTATTACTCTGGTCCATCAGTATTATGCTGGTCCATCAGTAGTATTACTCTGGTCCACCAGTATTACACTGGTCCATCAGTATTACTCTGATCCATCAGTATTACTCTGGTCCATTAGTATTACTCTGGTCCATTAGTATTACTCTGGTCCATCAGTATTACGCTGGTCCATCAGTATTACTCTGGTCCATCAGTATTACTCTGGTCCACCAGTATTACTCTGGTCCATCAGTATTACTCTGGTCCACCAGTATTACTCTGATCCACCAGTATTATGCTGGTCCATCAGTATTACTCTGGTCCATCAGTATTACTCTGGTCCATTAGTATTACTCTGGTCCATCAGTATTACTCTGATCCATCAGTATTACTCTGATCCACCAGTATTATGCTGGTCCATCAGTATTACGCTGGTCCATCAGTATTACTCTGGTCCATCAGTATTACTCTGATCCACCAGTATTACGCTGGTCCATTAGTATTACTCTGGTCCATTAAAATTACTCTGATCCACCAGTATTACTCTGGTCCATTAGTATTACTCTGGTCCATCAGTAGTATTACTCTGGTCCATCAGTATTACTCTGGTCCATTAGTATTACTCTGGTCCACCAGTATTACTCTGATCCACCAGTATTATGCTGGTCCATCAGTATTACTCTGGTCCATCAGTATTACTCTGGTCCACCAGTATTACTCTGATCCACCAGTATTATGCTGGTCCATCAGTATTACTCTGGTCCATCAGTATTACTCTGGTCCATTAGTATTACTCTGGTCCATCAGTATTACTCTGGTCCACCAGTATTACTCTGGTCCACCAGTATTACTCTGATCCACCAGTATTACGCTGGTCCATCAGTATTACTCTGGTCCACCAGTATTACGCTGGTCCATCAGTATTACTCTGGTCCATCAGTATTACTCTGATCCACCAGTATTACGCTGGTCCATTAGTATTACTCTGGTCCATTAAAATTACTCTGATCCATCAGTATTACTCTGGTCCATTAGTATTACTCTGGTCCATCAGTATTATGCTGGTCCATCAGTAGTATTACTCTGGTCCACCAGTATTACACTGGTCCATCAGTATTACTCTGATCCATCAGTATTACTCTGGTCCATTAGTATTACTCTGGTCCATTAGTATTACTCTGGTCCATCAGTATTACGCTGGTCCATCAGTATTACTCTGGTCCATCAGTATTACTCTGGTCCACCAGTATTACTCTGGTCCATCAGTATTACTCTGGTCCACCAGTATTACTCTGATCCACCAGTATTATGCTGGTCCATCAGTATTACTCTGGTCCATCAGTATTACTCTGGTCCATTAGTATTACTCTGGTCCATCAGTATTACTCTGATCCATCAGTATTACTCTGATCCACCAGTATTATGCTGGTCCATCAGTATTACGCTGGTCCATCAGTATTACTCTGGTCCATCAGTATTACTCTGATCCACCAGTATTACGCTGGTCCATTAGTATTACTCTGGTCCATTAAAATTACTCTGATCCACCAGTATTACTCTGGTCCATTAGTATTACTCTGGTCCATCAGTAGTATTACTCTGGTCCATCAGTATTACTCTGGTCCATTAGTATTACTCTGGTCCACCAGTATTACTCTGATCCACCAGTATTATGCTGGTCCATCAGTATTACTCTGGTCCATCAGTATTACTCTGGTCCATCAGTATTACTCTGGTCCATCAGTATTACTCTGGTCCATCAGTATTACGCTGGTCCATCAGTATTACTCTGATCCACCAGTATTACTCTGATCCACCAGTATTATGCTGGTCCACCAGTATTATTACTCTGGTCCATCAGTAATACTCTGGTCCATCAGTATTATTACTCTGGTCCATCAGTATTACTCTGGTCCATCAGTATTACTCTGATCCATCAGTAATACTCTGGTCCATCAGTAGTATTACTCTGGTCCATCAGTATTATTACTCTGGTCCATTAGTATTACTCTGATCCACCAGTATTATGCTGGTCCACCAGTATTACTCTGGTCCACCAGTATTATGCTGGTCCACCAGTATTACTCTGATCCATCAGTATTACTCTGATCCATTAGTATTACTCTGGTCCATTAGTATTACTCTGATCCATCAGTATTACTCTGGTCCATCAGTATTACTCTGGTCCATCAGTATTATTACTCTGGTCCATCAGTATTATTACTCTGGTCCACCAGTATTATGCTGGTCCATCAGTATTATTACTCTGGTCCACCAGTATTATGCTGGTCCATCAGTATTACTCTGATCCATCAGTATTACTCTGGTCCATCAGTAGTATTACTCTGGTCCATCAGTAGTATTACTCTGATCCATCAGTATTACTCTGGTCCATCAGTATTATTACTCTGGTCCATTAGTATTACTCTGATCCATCAGTATTACTCTGATCCATCAGTATTACTCTGGTCCATCAGTAGTATTACTCTGGTCCATCAGTAGTATTACTCTGATCCATCAGTATTACTCTGATCCACCAGTATTACTCTGGTCCACCAGTATAACTCTGATCCACCAGTATTACTCTGATCCACCAGTATTATGCTGGTCCACCAGTATTACTCTGATCCACCAGTATTATGCTGGTCCACCAGTATTACTCTGATCCACCAGTATTATGCTGGTCCACCAGTATTACGCTGGTCCACCAGTATTATGCTGGTCCACCAGTATTACTCTGATCCACCAGTATTACTCTGGTCCATCAGTATTACTCTGATCCACCAGTATTACTCTGATCCACCAGTATTATGCTGGTCCATCAGTATTACTCTGATCCACCAGTATTATGCTGGTCCACCAGTATTACTCTGATCCACCAGTATTACTCTGATCCATCAGTATTACACTGGTCCATCAGTATTACTCTGGTCCATCAGTATTACTCTGGTCCATCAGTATTACTCTGGTCCATCAGTATTATGCTGGTCCACCAGTATTATGCTGGTCCACCAGTATTACTCTGGTCCATCAGTATTATGCTGGTCCACCAGTATTATGCTGGTCCACCAGTAGTATAAATCTTGATACTGATACATCTATTACCTCTGAAGCAAACTTCTTGAACAGAGACAGCTGATCTTTACATTCATACAGCGACTTTCCTTTGTTGAAGATTGTGTGCATTAAAATGCCAATTGAAAACATATCACTGGCCAAGCTACAGTTCATGGTAAGGGCATACTCTGGTGCTAAGTAGTCTAGGTTTGGCTGAGCGATTGGTGGAATTTCAGAGTCCCACTCTCTGAACGCAAACAATGGCTACAAGTAAAATAAAAGGAAAAATACTGCAAAATAAGAAGACATTGCGACAAATTTAATTTAAATCATATCAGTATAATTAGTACAGAAAACAAACAGAAATCAGAATGTTTATCTACTTAAAACAGATATCAGGTATTTATAATATAATCCATATTTGGATGGTGACTTTGTCCAGGGATACGTTTGTTTTCAATGTAATGTAAGCACAATACCATTTTGAAATGCAACAAAATGTATTTGCATTATCTGAAGGTACAAACAGAGGCCCATAGGGCCTGTTCTCTATTGCTCATCACTGAAAAATATTTCACCAAAAATAAATGAAAAGCATTTAAAACATTTTACAACTAATTTCTCCTCTTTGGCCCCATGAAAATCAGATGTAACATTTATAAATATAAAAAGAAGTCCCCTTCAGGACAAAATTCAACCATTCCTAAAGAATAAGAATCATTTAAATGATTCTGCTTTAGTCATGTACCAGGGGGCCCTGAGACCCACAGTGTTTACAAAACTGATCCTCCTTCACCTAAGAATGCTTCAGACCAAATTTTGGCATAATCTAATCATTCCCTCAAGAGAAGGATTTTTTGATAATTTACTCTATTTCCACTATTGGGGCCCCACCCCAGGGTGCTGAGACCCTACGTTTATACAGAATTTATTCTTCTTTCCTCTAGAATGCTTCAGATGAAATTTGAGCAAAATTCTAGAGGAAGAGTAGGATATTAAAGAACTTGAAAAATTTCCCTTTTTCGACCCCCATCCCTGAGGCCTTGGGGGTGGAACCCATCATTGATACAATATTTATATATACTTGTTTATTTGATTTCTTGACCCTGCTCCCTTTTCCAACTTACTCAAAAGAAATGAGGGTAACCAACATGTACACCACCAACATATACCAACATGCATAAAACAAAACCTTGGCTTTGTACTGTAAACCACAGAACCAGATTATGGCTCTGTCAAGGGTAGAAATCTGAACAATATCACTTCATCTAATCTATAGAAACATACACCAGAAAGTAAATGTGACAGATAGGGAGGTGACTATGGGAGATAGGGAGATAAGGAGGTAACTATTGGAGATAGAGAGACTGGGAAAGAGAGATAGGGAGATAAGGAGGTGACTATGGGAGATATGGAGACTGGGAGAGAGAGATAGGGAGATAAGGAGGTGATTATGGGAGATAGGGAAAGAGATAAGGAGACATAGAGGTGACTATGGGAGATATGGAGACTGGGAGAGAGATAGGAAGATAAGGAGGTGACAGGGAGAAATGAAGATAGGGAGAGAGAGAGATAGGGAGATAAGGAGGTGACAGGGAGAAATGAAGATAGGGGGAGAGAGAGATAGGGAGATAAGGAGATGACAGGGAGAAATGAAGATAGGGAGAGAGAGAGATAGGGAGATAAGGAGGTGACAGGGAGAAATGAAGATAGGGAGAGAGAGAGATAGGGAGATAAGGAGGTGACTATTGGAGATAGAGAGACTAGGAGAGAGAGATAGGGAGATAAGGAGGTGACAGGGAGAAATGGAGATAGGGAGAGAGAGAGATAAGGAGATAAGGAGGTGACAGGGAGAAATGAAGATAGGGAGAGAGAGATAGGGAGATAAGGCGGTGACAGGGAGAAATGGAGATAGGGAGAGAGAGAGATAGGGAGATAAGGAGGTGACAGGGAGAAATGAAGATAGGGAGAGAGAGAGATAGGGAGATAAGGAGGTGACAGGGAGAAATGAAGATAGGGAGAGAGAGAGATAGGGAGATAAGGAGGTGACTATTGGAGATAGAGAGACTGGTAGAGAGATAGGAAGATAAGGAGGTGATTAAGGGAGAAAGGGAGATAGGGAAAGAGATAAGGAGACATAGAGGTGACTATGGGAGATAGGGAGAGAAGGAGATAGGCACAGTTGGATATAGGGAGATTGAGACGTAGTGAGATAGGGAAGTGACAGGGAGATATGGAGACTGGGATAGAGATAGGGAGATAAGGAGCGGACTATGGGAGATATGGAGACTGGGAGAGAGATAGGGAGATACAGAGGTGACAGGGAGATATGGAGACTGGGAGATAGGGAGAAAAGGAGGTGACTATTGGAAAAAGCAAGATAGGGAGAGAGACAGGGAGATATAGAGGTGACTATGGGACAAACAATACTGATGTTACCTTTGTTCTCTAGTGTCAATGTTAAAAAACTTATCGAACACTAACTCAGATTACCCCAGGAAAGTCTGAGTAGAGGAGAGATGAGACGGAAGATAGATGATTAAGAGGTAATAAGTGTTGCTTGGCTGTAGTTAAATGAAGTTGAATTTTTTTACTTTATCATCATAAATAGTATTTCACACAGTGACAGTTATAAAATATCAGACAATACTCTCTTACTCTGAACAAAGGAAGAGAGTGTAAACATGTACTGAAATAAAATTGTTTTTCCGTGAAAAAACTTTAAAAGTGTAGACATGTACCCATATACCAAGTCCTCTTACCTAGGACAAACTTGGAAAGTGTAAACGGGTACCCAAATATAAAAATGCTCCCACACATAATTACCTTTTTTGGTCTAAGAGGATCCTGAAATGTTTCATCATTCACAGAACTAAATTTTGAAAAATATTTTTAACAATACATGTACATCAGCTGATGATTCTTTAATTACGATGTTATAAAACCAGTGAAGTGTGAAGGTACAGTAAACTAACATCTGTCATTTGTAACTTCGGCAACATGGAGTTAGCTCCTCATAAGAAACAATTTGTACAAACTGCGTCTAATGTACTAGTGCTTTATGTATATTATAAGTAGAGGTTTCACAATAAGTAATTGTAGTATACGATATTTCTTTCTCTCAACTTAGTTATTTTAGCAAAAAGGGGAGTAAGAGTCAACTCTGGGTTGGTTTATTGAATGTAGGATGATGGGTTTCTCAGCCCCTTCGTCTCGATACCTGAAAGTGTGCAAGGTGATTGAAGGATAAATAAGAAATATAAGAGGTGCAGAGGTCAACAACAACAGGCGAAGAGGCTGGCTACTTAGATTTATTGTTGTCAACCAGTTTCGCCCTCTCTCCCTTCTTAAGGTGTCCTGAACATTAACCTCTGCATCTCTATTATTTCACAAAAGTTACAGCTTTAGTAAATAGCTAATGAAAGTGACAGAAATACTATATACCACAATGTTTAGAAGACTTGTTTCTACCACAATATAAAAGTTTTTGTGAACTTGAATTAGCCTGTTCTGTACCAGTTGGGGCATAAAATGATTCCTAGTGAAATTTTGCCAATTAATATGCAAAACTGCCAATTTCACAAATATATGGAGACATTGTAAGTCATTACAAATTAGCATTAAATTGGTTTGTTGTATTCAAAAAAAAAATAAAACTATTGCAAAATAATCATGAATTACTTATTACAAGTTTTAATTTCTGTGAGTGCATGTAGCACCCTTTTAGTCAAAATTCATCCTGTAAGCCTGTATATCACATCAGATATTACATTTATGTTCATACAACTATTTGAATAATTGATATCTTTGGAGTTGAATAAAACCCACTTATTGTGGTAGAAAAATATTTTAAAATTTTCGTTTTAGTTAAATTTATAACTCAAATATAAAAAATATCTCGAATCTACAACTGACATTGAGGACTGAGCTTGAAGTTAGAATATCTAATGTATAATTAGGAATTGTGTTTAATGAGGTGAAATGTAAAACTCACACTTTGGTCTTGTGTGTTTGAGTTAGGTATACAGCACTCAAAGCCAAACAGTTTCCAGGCTCCGTCCCTGTTAATAATGATATTCTCCGGACAAAGATTGCTGTGAAGGAGTTTAACATCATGATGAAGGAAAGTGATTCCTTCAGCCACCTGTAATCAAACAAGCCTAGTGTTGAAACATTTTTCTATCCAGAAAAACAAATTAGGAAAGAAAATTAATTGTCATTAATAAAGATGGAAATGATAAACAATGATTATAGAACAGCATAGTGAGGTATGTGTTCAGTGAGAGGTTGAAATCATAAAATTTTGTTAACTGCGAAAAACAATTCTTCAAACAAAATCATGGAAGATATCACTTTAGTGAAAGTGTTCAGGAAAGCTTTAATAAGTAACACTATATCATCACATATCATCTAACATGTATTTTGATAAGATATAGCCATCACTCTTCTAATTGCTAGAATTAAAATATTCCATTTAGAAAGAGATTCCCAGTTCCCTACAGTAACAAATTCAAGATTCAATCAGAAATTATGTCGTGGATTCACATTTCCCCTACATTACTAGAGATTCAATCAGAAATTATGTCGTGGATTCCCAATTCCCCTGCATTACTAGAGATTCAATCAGAAATTATGTCGTGGATTCCCATTTCCCATACATTACTAGAGATTCAATCAGAAATTATGTCGTGGATTCCCATTTCCCCTCCATTACTAGAGATTCAATCAGAAATTATGTCGTGGATTCCCAATTGCCCTACATTACTAGAGATTCAATCAGAAATTATGTCGTGGATTCCCATTTCCCCTCCATTACTAGAGATTCAATCAGAAATTATGTCGTGGATTCCCATTTCCCATACATTACTAGAGATTCAATCAGAAATTATGTCGTGGATTCCCATTTCCCATACATTACTAGAGATTCAATCAGAAATTATGTCGTGGATTCCCATTTCCCCTGCATTACTAGAGATTCAATCAGAAATTATGTCGTGGATTCCCAATTGCCCTACATTACTAGAGATTCAATCAGAAATTATGTCGTGGATTCCCATTTCCCCTCCATTACTAGAGATTCAATCAGAAATTATGTCGTGGATTCCCATTTCCCCTCCATTACTAGAGATTCAATCAGAAATTATGTCGTGGATTCCCAATTGCCCTCCATTACTAGAGATTCAATCAGAAATTATCTGGATTCCCATTTCCTCTGCATTACTAGAGATTCAATCAGAAATTATGTCGTGGATTCCCATTTCCCATACATTACTAGAGATTCAATCAGAAATTATGTCGTGGATTCCCATTTCCCCTCCATTACTAGAGATTCAATCAGAAATTATGTCGTGGATTCCCATTTCCCCTCCATTACTAGAGATTCAATCAGAAATTATGTTGTGGATTCCCATTTCCCCTCCATTACTAGAGATTCAATCAGAAATTATGTCGTGGATTCCCATTTCCCCTCCATTACTAGAGATTCAATCAGAAATTATGTCGTGGATTCCCATTTCCCCTCCATTACTAGAGATTCAATCAGAAATTATGTCGTGGATTCCCATTTCCCCTGCATTACTAGAGATTCAATCAGAAATTATGTCGTGGATTCCCATTTCCCCTGCATTACTAGAGATTCAATCAGAAATTATGTCGTGGATTCCCATTTCCCCTCCATTACTAGAGATTCAATCAGAAATTATGTCGTGGATTCCCATTTCCCCTGCATTACTAGAGATTCAATCAGAAATTTATGTGTGGATTCGCATTACTAGGATTCCCATTTCCCCTGCATTACTAGAGATTCAATCAGAAATTATGTCGTGGATTCCCATTTCCCCTGCATTACTAGAGATTCAATCAGAAATTATGTCGTGGATTCCCATTTCCCATACATTACTAGAGATTCAATCAGAAATTATGTCGTGGATTCCCATTTCCCCTGCATTACTAGAGATTCAATCAGAAATTATGTCGTGGATTCCCATTTCCCCTGCATTACTAGAGATTCAATCAGAAATTATGTCGTGGATTCCCATTTCCCATACATTACTAGAGATTCAATCAGAAATTATGTTTAAGATTCATTGAAGATGCATGATATGATTTTGAATTCTTTACCTGCAGGAGACCATGTTTGATCTCGACCTCGTATAAACTAAAATCTGCTAACTGTTTTGGTATCGGACTTGGTAAGTTGTCATGGGAACCAAGGACGTTGCCTAATGAAGCAAATACTGGTTCTGTTGCAAAGGCCAAGGTTTCTCTGAAATCATACATGTAACTACTGAGATGTATTTTGTTCAATATTAAATACAAACTTATGCTTGATCTCAAATATTATTACATTTCTTAATTTCTACTTTGGTTTTTGTATGCAATAAATAAGTAGTTGTTTAGATAGCATTTCCTACATAGTTGTTTACATTGATGTAAGAGAAATGCAAACATGAAATATCAAATTGTAGTTCACCCTCGATACTCCAGGGGTTAGGATCACTTTTACTCTCTGTATCCTCGATACACCAGGGATTACGATCACTTTCTCTCTCTCTCTGTATCCTCGATACACCAGGGATTACGATCACTTTCTCTCTCTGTATCCTCGATACTCCAGAGGTTACAATCACTTTCTCTCTCTGTATCCTCGTTACTCCAGGGGTTACAATCACTTTCTCTCTCTGTATCCTCAATACTCCAGGGGTTTACGATCACTTTTACTCCCTGTATCCTCGATACTCCAAGGGTTACAATCACTTTCTCTCTCTGTATCCTCAATACTCCAGGGGTTTACGATCACTTTTACTCCCTGTATCCTCGATACTCCAGGGGTTACAATCACTTTCTCTCTCTGTATCCTCGATACTCCAGGGGTTACAATCACTTTCTCTCTCTGTATCCTCGATACTCCAGGGGTTATGATCACTTTCTCTCTTTGTATCCCTGATACACCAGGAGTTACGGTCACTTTCTCTCTCTGTATCCTCGATACTCCAGGGGTTACGATCACTTTTGCTCTCTGTATCCCTGATACTCAAGGGGTTACAATCACTTTCTCTCTCTGTATCCCTGATACTCCAGGGGTTACGATCACTTTTACTCTCTGTATCCCTGATACTCAAGGGGTTACAATCACTTTCTCTCTCTGTATCCCTGATACTCCAGGAGTTACGATCACTTTCTCTCTCTGTATCCTTGATACTCTAGGGGTAATGATTGCTTTCAATCTCTGCACCTCTGGAACATGTCATGGCAAAACTGAAGGTACAAGCAAAGTGATTTGATTGGTTCCAGGAGAAAAAAACTGACTAATCACAGATTGATATGCTCCTTTTAAAGATGCAGAGAGTAAAGATGATTGTAACGCCTGAAATATATCGAGGATTATTGTAGTTTTAAAAAAAAGAATATACAGGCTGATGGCTTCAAACCCATACACTGCAAAATTGGTTTGTAGACTGTGAAGGTATGAGATCTATGTCATTAGATACAGAGGTGTTGTACTGAACTGATTTACCTTGATTCCTCAAGGGGGTGAAGTATTGATAGCACTTTTGGGTGACGTAGTCGAGTCAATTGGGACACACCTTTCTTCAAACAATCTATAATTATCTCCTTGTCTCTTCGGGAATATTTTTCAAGTGTTTTCTTTTCAAAGACAAACACAGCAGCTTCCTGAATAAAGGAATAAGAAATTAAAACAACTATAATTCGATTTAGTAAATCTGTAATTGATGTAGGACCTTTAGCGAAACTTTCAATGTAATTCAACTTTTGTCCACTTCTACCATTGGCCAATAAGGCATAAAAAATAAATGTAATAAAAACAAAGGGAAACTCTGAACAGATTTACACAGATACTCCTAAAAACTATATTCAAGGAGAATAAGACCAGGGCCCATATTCATGAAACCATTCTCATGCTCCAGCATAGATTTTGTGCTCACGCAAACTCTTTATAATTCTCCTAAATCATATTATAACTTTGACTTGAAATCCTTTCAAATTTTTTTTTAAATCTTTAGCGAAATCAGCCTTATTTATTCATTTTTAAGTTAAACAAGACAAAAAGCTTGAGTACAAAATTCATGCTTGAGCATGATAATGGTTTCATGAATACGGGCCCTGGAGACCAGGAAATGTACATCAACATGTAAATCTCGGTCAATCCATGTACCAGGTGATGTCACATTCCCAAATTCAGCATCCTTACCATTCCTTCTGTAAAACAGCCCTCATTGTATCAATTACACCATTAGTATTAACCTAACACTGCCTCAGATATTTATTTTATAATCCTTCATCAGATTTCTGCCTATGTTATTGCAAGCATGGAATACATTAGATCTAATTCAGTAATGATGTCAACCTGCATTCTGCTATACTCTCTTTAAAAAAAGAACTGTTCATGAAAAATTTGTACTTTCTCTGGTACTGGACTACAGAATTTATCATCATCTAATGCAAGGATAGATCTAATTCGCAATAACCAAGTAATCTTTGTTGAGTACCACAAGGACAAAAATAAAAACATTCAGTAAACTTGCAGGATTTGAAGACTAGTCAACCCAGAAGACCATTTCTATTTTTCTTTTTGAGTCCCAAAACTTCAAGATATGGTGAGTTTTCAAAAAATTTGATGGTGTCCCACAGTAAAATCATCAGTCCAGAACTCAAATAGCTGAGTCCTAAAAATCACTAGACCATGAAATATGCTGAAGCAAGAAGAAGAGTTGCATATATAGTAATTACCTGTTTAGAAGTTCGTTTGATGCCATTGTATATTTTCCAGGACAAACCTGGCCCTCCACTAGCTATCTGGTTTAATACATCAAAGTCCTTTGACAGGGGGTTTCCAGGTAGTGCACTGGTGACTGCACTTCGGATTTTGTTGAACATATCCATTACTTCATAATTCTGTCAACATCTCAATTCTGTAAGGAAAACATGTCAGCTTAATAACAGTCAGATTGCATGTTGAATGGAAATTACTTGTACTTCGGTAAGTGATTTTTGGGACTCGGTTGTAAATATTGTACGCTTTAATATGTCTTGACCATATGGAAGATGAGCTCTACGCTCAATATGTGATCAAGAATAAATAAAGACGATTATTATTATAAATGTAACACAAAGAAAGTGAGATCTTTGGATAAAGTGATATTTGTTGCATGGGTTAAAATAGGAATAAAAGCCTTCTGAAAATGATAATTTTTATTTTTCATTTTGTCCTTTTAATTTTGAAAGCAGGGAATAAGCCTAATAATCAAAGTGTTTTCTGTATTTATCCAAGCAATATATAATTTTTTGTGGAAAACATGTTTCTATATCTACTATCAATTACTTACTCACTGCATTTACATTTGTAGCTGAGGGTGGGGTCAGATTTCTGTGTAGGAACTGGAGGGTACAATCGTAAGGGATATGCAATGAAAGAAAAGCTTTGCCCAAGTCAAATCTCTCACAATTTACAGTAAGAAGTGAACAGTTTGAAAAATGGTTTTCCTTGTAACGAAGTCGAAATTAATACAAAAGTGTATCGTTTGTTTACAATCAGCATTGGGAACACTTAGGTGCAACAAATCATGTGTTGACTTTTTGTTATTGACTATTTCCTCAATATCAGTGCCAGTTACAGGATCTACATAACAAGAAGAAAAATCGGGAATGCAAGTCATTTCGGTAACAAACAGTTTTGGTTACAAGTCGTTTCTGTAACAAGTTATTTTGGGAGTCCAGAAGACATTTCAGGACTTATGCCGGATGTTTCGATACATTCAGAAAATGAGAAAATATCTGTTTTAATTGTCTTCAATTTGATTTTGTGGATAGGAGAGTTCAAAATCACATTTGATATTTGATTCATTATCATTTCTGTGACGTCACCTCACCACTTCTGAATGATTGAGGTCATGTCAAAACATATCTCACCGCAGACATGGTCCGATGGTGTCATCTGCGAGTGCACAGGGGTTTGCAGGATTCACAGATGCTTCTAAATACTGATGAATTATTGTAGTATTAAGTAAACAATTTCAACAGTGATTGTAAGCAAAATACAAGATGACAACAAAGTATATGTTTAAGTATTTACCAGAATTGCAGGTTCTAAGATGCCATCTTGACTACTAATCACAATCCAGACCCTCCTGTCTAGGACAAACCGTTTCAGAGCACACAACACAAATGTCAAACAATGATATAATGAGTTAATTAATAAGTATCAGTAGTTGGCATGTTATTATGTTTAATATACCAGTTGTTTGTTTTTCCTCATTAAAAGAGTAGCACATACACTATACTGAAGGAGCTATGATTTGATCTGTTTTCTTAATTCATTAACAAAATATTTCAATAAGGCAGCATCAGGTTGCTCCAAATTACAGACTTTTGTTTTCAGTAGCTTACTACAACCAATTAAACAGTGCTCTAAGAAAAAGGAAAACGCTGCCCATGTTATTGGTTTTTTGGGGTTTTTTATCACGTAATCTATCAGAAATATCTTATTTTAAATCAACAACTTGTTCGCTTCAATACGTTTCAGTATTTCTTGGTACATAAAGCATACCTGGTACATAACTGACTCTGTTTATTTAATGTCAACAATTATTTTTTATAGTCAGTCACTGCAATTATTGAAATCAACAACAAACATGTTTCTTCCATGCTGTTTATTTAGTTGTTTTTTTTTTCTCATTTTCATTTTTTAAGTACCAAAACAGACCGAATGAAGTACCGAAACGACTTCCTACTTTGTCCCTAAACGATGTTTTACCGAAACGACCTGACATGTACACCGAAAATCTGACTGTCAATCACAACTTATAGACAAAACCTAATCACATGTTCCAAACTTCATAAGGGCCGGTTGACTGAACATTTTCAGTTTCAACTCTTCATTACACCTATTCCATGTTGACAATTACTGACGTAATCGTTAATATTGACGACGTGGATTTCTTTGGAAAAGAAGAATAATAATTCAATATCAATTGATAACTTAAAGAATATCTAAAATCTGTGGGCTAGACTAGGATCAGTCAAAGCTGGTCGACAGTTTATAGTCAAATTAAAGCACGCATGCCTAAAATTCTATGAGTACATCTCTTCGCAGACAAGTTTACCCACATCAGTGTATTGAAACACTGTCATTCTCCCAACACAGGCCGGCAGGAGTCCTTCTTCTGCGTTAACGTTGACAGTTGTTTCGCACCCGGAAGTATATGTTAGATACTAAAAACAAAACCGGACCGCTGCATAATTTCCGGTGACTCATTCATTTGAGGCTATTCTACAGTATCAATTATTGTTGAAGCACAATATGATAGGTTAATTGCGTATTAATACGCGCATGAAAAAACTTACCAGTTTACACTGTAAATTGGCCATTCGGAAAAAAGAAGATTCTGTAACGGACTAAATTAGGTAAACTGATAAGGGACATATATCAAAAATTATTATAAAATCAAATTAACTTTGACATGCACTGAGCTGACAATTTGGAGTTGTACATATCGAACATTCAATAGATGTTAGTCTACTTGTCATTAACTTACCAGATTTATAGTATACGGGTGGGAAGCTATACACAGCAAGTACTCTTAAGGATTTAGCATTAAAGAAATTACCCCAGCCCTATACTCTCATTTCAACTTATTCAGAAACTCAGACACCGTTCCTTGCTCGACAGTCTTAAAGATGGGTGTATAAAAACTGACGTGTCTCACACCTGTAAGATCAATTAATATCACATCTCACCTTTAACCTTACCAACTTAAAGGGCTAGTCAGTGATGCTACGTCACACAGCTGTTTCGCCCTTCTAGGACTCGTCCGTGATGCTAGGTGATGATGTGACCGCAGTGTATTCTCAACCGTGCCACTATTGTAATGTTTTTTTGTTTCTTTTTGTCTTTTTTTTGGTTTTGTTTTAAAACATGGTATACAGGTTACGGGAAACATCGGAGACTTAAAAAATGTACAAATGACACATATGACTTTAAATCTGAACTCTCCACAGAATATATTGAATGTAACAGCGTTGCCAGATAGAAACATGAATAAAGCATACAAGTTGATGTTGTTCTGAGTAAGTTGAGAGAAAACAGTAATGTTCTGTAGATTGAACCACTGTGAACTTGGAGCCAGAGAAGTACTAGGAACATTGTATAAAATGGCACCTATTACAGGAACTAGTGAAAACTACACTGCTAAAGATAGGAAGGCGATAGTCTTATCTAGAAATCAGAGGTCATATTGTATGATAACAGTTCTGTGATTTAGGTCACACATTCTGTGCTTCTACAACATGGCGCGGATCCTACACAGGTTCCTTATACTGCTGAGCCTGGTTGTTTACATCAATGCAGCGACCCGTCCTCACATCGTATTTATGGTATCGGATGACTTAGGTAAGGTCTTAACAAAATTAATCAGGGCTGAAATACAACCTCATTTAGAATTATCCTTCAATACAAAATAAGTACTGGTGTTCAACTGAAAATTAAAGAGAGGACGCTGTAGGTATCCAAACAATGGATACAAGGAACTGAACTCTTCCTAAACAGACGTACAAGGAACTGACCGAAATCTTCCTTAACAGACGTACAAGGAACTGACCGAAATCTTCCTAAACAAGCGTACAAAGGAACTGACTAAATTCTTCCTTAACAGACGCACAAGGAACTGACCGAACTCTACCTAAACAGACGTACAAGAAACTGACCGAAATTTTCCTAAACAGACGTACAAGGAACTGACCAAATTCTTCCTAAACAGACGTACAAGGAACTGACCGAACTCTTCCTAAACAGACGTACAAGGAACTGACCGAACTCTTCCTAAACAGACGTACAAGGAACTGAACTCTGCCTAAACAGACGTACAAGGAACTGACAGAACTCTACCTAAACAGACGTACAAGGAACTGACCGAACTCTGCCTAAACAGACGTACAAGGAACTGACTGAACTCTGCCTAAACAGACGTACAAGGAACTGACCGAACTCTACCTAAACAGACGTACAAGGAACTGAACTCTTTCTAAACAGACGTACAAGGAACTGAACTCTTCCTTAATAGACGTACAAGGAACTGACCGAACTCTTCCTAAACAACACTTCTTAACCCAGTAAAGATACAACTATCACAGCTAACACTTCTAAACCCAGTAAACATACAACTGTTACATACAACTATCACATCAAACACTTCTTAACCCAGTAAACATACAACTATCACAGCTAACACTTCTAAACCCAGTAAACATACAACTGTTACATACAACTATCACATCAAACACTTCTAAACCCAGTAAACATACAACTATCACATCAAACACTTCTAAACCCAGTAAACATACAACTGTTACATACAACTATCACATCAAACACTTCTAAACCCAGTAAACATACAACTATCACATCAAACACTTTTAAACCCAGTAAACATACAACTATCACAACTAACACTTCTAAACCCAGTAAACATACAACTGTTACAGCTAACACTTCTAAACCCAGTAAACATACAACTGTTACATACAACTATCACATCAAACACTTCTAAACCCAGTAAACATACAACTGTTACATACAACTATCACATCAAACACTTCTAAACCCAGTAAACATACAACTATCACATCAAACACTTCTAAACCCAGTAAACATACAACTGTTACATACAACTATCACATCAAACACTTCTAAACCCAGTAAACATACAACTATCACATCAAACACTTCTAAGCCCAGTAAACATACAACTGTTACAGCTAACACTTCTAAACCCAGTAAACATACAACTGTTACATACAACTATCACATCAAACACTTCTAAACCCAGTAAACATACAACTGTTACATACAACTATCACATCAAACACTTCTAAACCCAGTAAACATACAACTGTTACATACAACTATCACATCAAACACTTCTAAACCCAGTAAACATACAACTATCACAGCTAACACTTCTAAACCCAGTAAACATACAACTGTTACAGCTAACACTTCTAAACCCAGTAAACATACAACTGTTACAGCTAACACTTCTAAACCCAGTAAACATACAACTGTTACATACAACTATCACATCAAACACTTCTAAACCCAGTAAACATACAACTGTTACAGCTAACACTTCTAAACCCAGTAAACATACAACTGGTACAGCTAACACCTCTAAACCCAGTAAACATACAACTGTTAAATACAACTATCACATCAAACACTTCTAAACCCAGTAAACATACAACTGTTACAGCTAACACTTCTAAACCCAGTAAACATACAACTGTTACAGCTAACACTTCTAAACCCAGTAAACATACAACTGTTACAGCTAACACTTCTAAACCCAGTAAACATACAACTGTTACATACAACTATCACATCAAACACTTCTAAACCCAGTAAACATACAACTGGTATAACCAACACATTTGCGTTATTGCTGGAAAATAATGATAAGTTGAATTTCTGGGGGTATTTTTCTACGTCAACATAAACATACTTTCTAAAGTGACACTTGTTAGATTTTTTGTAAAATAAATCAGTTTTATAATGTTACCGGGGGAGGTAATTAAACTGTATGAATTAATAAGTTGTTACCGGGTATAGAATCACATTCAACCGTCGTTGTTTTCTTTTTAATCAGTTGTCGAAATGAATCATAATAAAAAAATTAACATCAATTGTACACGAGCTTCCCCTTTCTTACATTACCATCGAAATGGTTTTGTAATAGGCCTGGACAACCATTGCCACTAGTGGAGGAGGCTAAGTTGTTCAGACACATGTCTGTAAAGGATGAACACTATTGTACTCTATCATTATAGGTTGGAATGACGTAGGTTGGCACAATTCACATATAGGCAGCTACTACCTGACCAAATATGCACGTGAAGGAGTCAGACTGAACAGTTCTTATATGCAGCCTGTCTGTTCTCCGTAAGTATTGATACCCCCAGGAACACCCATTCAGCCATCTTTTAACATTATTATCTATAGGGAAAATACGGATTATCACATAACCTCATGTGTCATAATCTGTCATATTTCCCTGCAACCAGGGTCACAGATTGAAATTATATCGAAACATCAACACACATTTGAGTCCTCGTGACTGATCCTGTTTAAAGATACTGTCACATATGGTAAAGGGGTTAAGTTTGTCCGAGGGAGGGATCTCAAGTTCAAGGATATGATAATCACGTGCCCTAGTGAACATTTACACAGAATCAAGATGTAATGACGACATACCAACCAGATGCTGCCGACCTTTGTTACTATGGACGCATATTCTAACAACGGCTTCACTGACGTCTTGTAACAGGTCTGTTTCATGTTCGGCGAGGTAAGATTAGAGGTTCCTCTGAAGAAAGGCGGAATTGTTCGCCTTGTTCAATACATACTTGATGTGGGAAGCCCTCGAGAGTTCAGAGACCATTGAGGCTCAAACAAATTTCGCTCCAACCAAAGGCAACAAAACTATTTGATAGACTCATCATAATATTGATGAATGAACTACACCCAGTTCCGATACTTGTCTGGGTTGATACGATATTTTTCTAAAATATACTGATACAGGTTCCTCATTTGGTTAGAGAAATCCGACAGACATTGTGATTGTTCCCGTTTGGTTGCACTCGACACGAGAGGAAAACAAGACGTTTACTCTGTATACCTCAAATCTGCATAAAAAAAAACTACCGGTGAAAATTGAAAAAAAAGACTTGCATCAGATATTTGCTGATGATCCAAGTTTAATTTTTTTATATAATTTTCTGCTTTGATTGAGAAATACTCGGGATTCATACATTTCACGTCTATAATTTGTGGCTTAAATCCATGCAATTTTTGGTGAAATCTAACGCATATTTCCAAAGCAACAGAAAAGACCGTCCCAAAATGTAACTCCACACGAAAATTCTAAAATATTTTATGATAAATGTCCCAAGTTTAGATTATAAGTACACGTTTGATTACATGAAAACGCAAAAATCTTGTACAATGTACATTTTGTTTGAATTGATTTTATTGTGAGTGAAATTTTACTTCCGGTCAAAGCTGCCTTCCATACGTCACTTAAATATAACTATTTCTCGGTCAAGTTTCCTCTGTTATCATTCTTTTATGTGACCGATCTAAAGAAATGTGTTCTGATTGAAATTAGGCCTTTTTTCTTGTTATAGGTCTAGAGGAAGTTTCCTTAGCGGATATTATCCTTTCCACACTGGGTTACAGGTAAGTCCTGAGCCAATATTATCCTATATTAACAAAGGAAAAAACAAAAAAACAAAAGTAAAAAAAAATATAAAAAAAAAAAAAAAAAGAATTATCATTGCTTTACAGAATCTCATAAAGCATCATGTTTGAGTCGTTTTGAGATCGAAAGTAAACTGCTGATGTTGAGGTACTAGTTGTTTGTTTAAGTATGTTTCTGATTTCGAAGTATCTGTCTGTCTGATTTCGAAGTATCTGTCTGATTTTGAAGTATCTGTCTGATTTCGAAGTATCTAGTGTCTAGAGACATAATCCCTCTAACAGTGATCTAGCTGGTGTTAGAAGACTTGTCTAGAGACATCATCCCTCTAACAGTGATCTGGCTAGTGTTAGAAGTCTAGAGACATAATCCCTCTCACAGTGACCTAGCTGGTGTTAGAAAACTTGTCAAGACACATAATCCCTCTAACAGTGATCTGGCTGGTGTTAGAAGTCTAGAGACATAATCCCTCTAACAGTGATCTAGCTGGTGTTAGAAAACTTTTGTAGAGACATAATCCCTCTAACAGTGACCTAGCTGGTGTTAGAAGACTTGTCTAGAGACATAATCCCTCTAACAGTGATCTAGCTGGTGTAAGAAGTCTAGAGACATAATCCCTCTAACAGAGATCTAGCTGGTGTTAGAAAACTTTTGTAGAGACATAATCCCTCTAACAGTGACCTAGCTGGTGTTAGAAGCCTAGAGACATAATCCTTCTAACAGTGATCTAGCTGGTGTTAGAAATCTAGAGACATAATCCTTCTAACAGTGACCTAGCTAGTGTTAGAAGCCTTGTCTAGAGACATAATCCCTCTAACAGTGATCTAGCTGGTGTTAGAAGCCAAGAGACATAATCCCTCCAACAGTGATCTAGCTGGTGTTAGAAGCCTAGAGACATAATCCCTCTAACAGTGATCTAGCTGGTGTAAGAAGCCTTGTCTAGAGACATAATCCCTCTAACAGTGATCTACCTCTTGTTAGAAGACTTGTCTAGACACATAATCCCTCTAACAGTGATCTGGCTAGTGTTAGGAGACTAGAGACATAATCCCTCTAACAGTGATCTAGCTGGTATTAGAAGCCTTGTCTAGAGACATAATCCCTTTAACAGTGATCTAGCTGGTGTTAGAAGCCTTGTCAAGAGACATCATCCCTCTAACAGTGATCTGGCTAGTGTTAGAAGTCTAGAGACATAATCCCTCTCACAGTGACCTAGCTGGTGTTAGAAAACTTGTCAAGACACATAATCCCTCTAACAGTGATCTGGCTGGTGTTAGAAAACTTTTGTAGAGACATAATCCCTCTAACAGTGACCTAGCTGGTGTTAGAAGACTTGTCTAGAGACATAATCCCTCTAACAGTGATCTAGCTGGTGTTAGAAGTCTAGAGACATAATCCCTCTAACAGAGATCTAGCTGGTGTTAGAAAACTTTTGTAGAGACATAATCCCTCTAACAGTGACCTAGCTGGTGTTAGAAGCCTAGAGACATAATCCCTCTAACAGTGATCTAGCTGGTGTTAGAAATCTAGAGACATAATCCTTCTAACAGTGACCTAGCGAGTGTTAGAAGCCTTGCCTAGAGACATAATCCCTCTAACAGTGATCTAGCTGGTGTTAGAAGCCAAGAGACATAATCCCTCCAACAGTGATCTAGCTGGTGTTAGAAGCCTAGAGACATAATCCCTCTAACAGTGATCTAGCTGGTGTTAGAAGCCTTGTCTAGAGACATAATCCCTCTAACAGTGATCTAGCTGGTGTTAGAAGTCTAGAGACATAATACCTCTAACAGAGATCTAGCTGGTGTTAGAAAACTTTTGTAGAGACATAATCCCTCTAACAGTCACCTAGCTGGTGTTAGAAACCTAGAGACATAATCCCTCTAACAGTGATCTAGCTGGTGTTAGAAGACTTTTCTAGAGACATAATCCCTCTAACAGTGATCTACCTCGTGTTAGAAGACTTGTCTAGACACATAATCCCTTTAACAGTGATCTGGCTAGTGTTAGGAGTCTGGTGACATAATCCCTCTAACAGTGATCTAGCTGGTGTTAGAAGCCTTGTCTATAGACATAATCCCTCTAACAGTGATCTAGCTGGTGTTAGAAGCCTTGTCTAGAGACATTATCCCTCTAACAGTGATCTAGCTGGTGTTAGAAAACTTGTCAAGACACATAATCCCTCTAACAGTGATCTGGCTGGTGTTAGAAGTCTAGAGACATAATACCTATACCAGTGATCTAGCTGGTGTTGGAAGTCTAGAGACATAATCCCTCCAACAGTGACCTAGCTAGTGTTAGAAGGCTAGAGACATAATCCCTCTAACAGAGATCTAGCTGGTGTTAGAAGCCTAGAGACATTATCCCTCTAACCGTGATCTAGCTGGTGTTAGAAGCCTTGTCTAGAGACATAATCCCTCCAACAGTGATCTAGCTGGTGTTAGAAGGCTAGAGACATAATCCCTCTAACAGTGATCTAGCTGGTGTTAGAAGCCTTGTCCAGAGACATAATGCCTCTAACAGAGATCTAGCTGGTGTTAGAAGCCTAGAGACATTATCCATCTAACAGTGATCTAGCTGGTGTTAGAAGGCTAGATACATAATCCCTCTGACAGTGACCTAGCTAGTGTTAGAAGGCTAGAGACATAATCCCTCTAACAGACATCTAGCTGGTGTTAGAAGCCTAGAGACATTATCCCTCTAACAGTGATCTAGCTGGTGTTAGAAGGCTAGATACATAATCCCTCTAACAGTGATCTAGCTGGTGTTAGAAGTCTAGAGACATAATCACTCTGACAGTGACCTAGCTGGTGTTAGAAGCATAGAGACATAATCGCTCTAACAGTGATCTAGCTGGTGTTAGAAGTCTAGAGACATAATCCCTCTAACAGTGATCTAGCTGGTGTTAGAAGTCTAGAGAGATTATCCCTCTAACAGTGATCTAACTGGTGTTAGAAGACTTGTGTAGAGACATAATCCCTCTAATAGTGACCAAGCCTGTGTTAGAAGTCTAGAGACATAATCCCTCTAACAGTGATCTAGCTGGTGTTAGAAGACTTGTCTAGAGACATAATCCCTCTAACAGTGACCTAGCTGGTGTTAGAAGTCTTGTCTAGAGACATAATCCCTCTAACAGTGACCTAGCTGGTGTTAGAAGGCTAGCGACATAATCCCTCTGACAGTGACCTAGCTGGTGTTAGAAGTCTTGAGACATAATCCCTCTAACCGTGATCTAGCTGGTGTTAGAAGCCTTGTCTAGAGACATAATCCCTCTAACAGAGATCTAGCTGGTGTTAGAAGTCTAGAGACATTTTCCCTCTAACAGTGATCTAGCTGGTGCTAGAAGGCTAGATACATAATCCCTCTAACAGTGATCTAGCTGGTGTTATGAGTCTAGAGACATTATCCCTCTAACAGTGATCTAGCTGGTTTTAGAAGCCTAGATACATAATCCCTCTAACAGTGATCTAGCTGGTGTTAGAATTCTAGAGACATAATCCCTCTGACAGTGACCTAGCTGGTGTTAGAAGTCTAGAGACATAATCCCTCTACCAGTGATCTAGCTGGTGTTAGAGGGCTAGAGACATAAGTCCTCTAACAGTGACCTGGCTGGTGTTAGAAGCATAGAGACTTAATCGCTCTAACAGTGATCTAGCTGGTGTTAGAAGTCTAGAGACATAATCCCTCTAACAGTGACCTACCTGGTGTTAGAAGTCTAGAGAGATTATCCCTCTAACAGTGATCTAGCTGGTGTTAGAAGCCATGTCTAGAGACATAATCTCACTAACAGTGAATCTAGCTGGTGTTAGCAGCCTTTTCTAGAGACATAATCTCTCTAACAGAGATCTAGCTGGGGTTAGTTGTCTAGAGACATAATCCTTCTAACAGTGATCTAGCTGGTGTTAGAAGACTTGTGTAGAGACATAATCCCTCTAACGGTGACCTAGCCTGTGTTAGAAGTCTAGAGACATGATCCCTCTAACAGTGATCTAGCTGATGTTAGAAGACTTGTCTAGAGACATAATCCCTCTAACAGTGACCTAGCTGGTGTTAGAAGTCTAGAGACATAATCCCTCTAACAGTGATCTAGCTGGTGTTAGAAGCCTTGTCTAGAGACATTATCCCTCTAACAGTGACCTAGCTGGTGTTAGAAGTCTAGAGACATAATCCCTCTAACAGAGATCTAGCTGGTGTTAGAAGCCTAAAGACATTATCCCTCTAACAGTGATCTAGCTGGTGTTAGAAGCCTTGTCTAGAGACATTATCCCTCTAACAGTGACCTAGCTGGTGTTAGAAGGCTAGATACATAATCGCTCTAACAGTGATCTAGCTGGTGTTAGAAGTCTAGAGACATAATCCCTCAAACAGTGACCTAGCTGGTGTTAGAAGTCTACAGACATAATCCCTCCACCAGTGATCTAGCTGGTGTTAGAAGACTAGAGACATAATCCCTCTAACAGTGACCTGGCTGGTGTTAGAAGCCTTGTCTAGAGACATAATCCCTCTAACAGTGATCTAGCTGGTGTTAGAAGCCTTGTCTAGAGACATTATCCCTCTAACAGTGATCTAGCTGGTGTTAGAAGACTTGTCAAGACACATAATCCCTCTAACAGTGATCTAGCTGGTGTTAGAAGCCTAGAGACATAATCCCTCTAACAGTGATCTAGCTAGTGTTAGAAGCCATGTCTAGAGACATAATCTCACTAACAGTGAATCTAGCTGGTGTTAGCAGCCTTTTCTAGAGACATAATCTCTCTAACAGAGATCTAGCTGGGGTTAGTTGTCTAGAGACATAATCCTTCTAACAGTGATCTAGCTGGTGTTAGAAGACTTGTGTAGAGACATAATCCCTCTAACGGTGACCTAGCCTGTGTTAGAAGTCTAGAGACATGATCCCTCTAACAGTGATCTAGCTGATGTTAGAAGACTTGTCTAGAGACATAATCCCTCTAACAGTGACCTAGCTGGTGTTAGAAGTCTAGAG